ATAATAAGTTTCTCATAGTTGATGTGCTTATTGACTAATCTTGTATGGTCAATGCACAATTTTTCGCATTTATTATGTGCGACCTGTTACCGGTGTGACAATCCTGCATAAAAATATATGGAATCATTCCTGTGTATATTTTGTGCAGAATTAATTACATTAATTTAATAATATCTTTCAAAAGTGTATTGTTTTGAAAATTTATTTTTTAAACTTCATCAATGTGGTTATTTTCCCATAAGTTTTTGTCTCTCATTGATTGTAAACTTTTTTTTTAGTGTGCTTGTTAAATTATATTTAATCAAAAATAATAGTTTGGGCTCAACCCATTATTTTCTTCTATATTTTTCAAAATGATAATTTGGTGGTAAGCCTCTATATATATGGCTTGCAAGTTGCAATACATCAAATTTAATTATTTGATTTCCAGTATTTTCAATATTAGATTTGTTCTGTGTGCAAAGGTTAATTAATAGTTTAGTTTAAAGTTTTAATTAACTGTTGACTTATTCAAAAAAGGGAAAGAATTGCTAGCTAAGTCTTGAAACTTTCCTTTAAGGCCCTGTCATACATGGAAATTTATTTATTTATATAACTTTTTCATGTGACACCATACTTGACCAGGAGTTTAAAACTTGGAATCAAGTTGAGGGCTTTAATAGCTACTTTGACTCTCATTAATTAAATTTTTTAAAAAATAAATAATGTTTGAATACATGATTTAGGAAGGTTATATTTATAAACTTTTCTTTAAACTTCTTACAATCATATCTTAACACCGTTGATTTCCTCCAATCAACGGTTATTATTTTCGCAAATTAAATTCATTAATTAATTATTAATTCACAATAAATGATAACCGTTGATTGACGGAAATCAACGGTATTAAGATATGGTTGTAAGAGGTTGTAAAAAAAAGTTGTAAGTATAACCTTCCTCGATTTATAATATTTATTAAAAAGTACTAATATATTATAGAATTTTGATACATATATATATAAATATAAATTTTAAAAATAATGTAACTTTAACTATTCACAAATAAAATAGTATAATTTTTTAGGATTCGTTTTTTAGTGAATATAGATCAATTATCTAAATTGAGCCCAAAATGATGTTATTTTGGGGTGAAAATTAATGTGTTTTTGTAATTATATTCCAAGATTATAATAGTCTTTAGCATTATAATTTTTTAATTTTTTAACTCAAAACGATGTCAATTTTAAAATGAATGTAGATAACTTATCTGTATTTATTGCGGAAACATTAAAGCCAATTTGTTATATTAAGAATTTCTTCATGGCTTTAATGTTTCTACAGTAAATGAGATAAGTTATCTACATTCACTCCCTAAATGATGTCATTTTGGGTTGAAAGATTAAAAAATTATAATGAAAAAAATCATTATAACACTGAAATAAATTATAATTACAAAAATATTTTATTTTCCACACCAAACGATATCATTTCGGGCTCAATATATATAACTTATCTATATTAACGGTAGAAAAAACTAATCCATTCTCTATACATCCTCTTCATCAACATAATAACATTTTGGTACACTGTGTCATTTTTATAGGAAAGTTTTTATTGTGAACAGTAATTAAAGACATATTTTCAAAGAGGATGATTATATTACTTGTCTATTTAATTTGTTAAGAAAAAGAAGGTAGGGAGAAGCAAAATCTAGAAGTATATAATTGTTTTTTTTTTAAGAAAAAATTATAGTATTTGAGACCATTGATTTAAATTTAATCAAATAGTAATAAAAATAAAGATAGGAAGATTAAATATATAGGCAATGTAATCATTAATTTCCAACGTAACATATTAAATTATCTTTATAATTTCTCCCTCCTATTGAGATTATGATCTAATGGTATTTAAGAGTGATAGAAAAAGATAGACAAAAAAGAAGTAGATAGAATAACCTATATATATATATATATAAATATATTAAATTATATATTCAGGTATAATGATGACATTCAAAGCTCCAGCTCTGTATTATTTTTGTTTTGGTAAAAGATTAATTCTATATTGGACGTATATTATTCAACCTTATTCAGCATTTCCAATACTGTAACAAAAAAATTGTTGGTTTATTTTTGAATTTATATTATAAATTATATATTCATACTCTACCTTTCAAATATTATTTTATTGTAATTAGTAAAGTCAAACTTTCAAACTCTCTTTGTTCATTAAATATGTATTTTTTCAATATTCAAATGGTATATTAATATTCTTAATACGAGTACCGTCTAAAGCAATAATTTTTCTTGACGATATTTTTTTATATACATAAATTTTGAAATCGAATATAAGACCACAATTTATAGGACTCAAACTTTAGTGTTTTAGGCAAACTAACGAGTTAGTTTATTGAATAATTTAATTATTTTATACATTTCATTTAGAGTATAAATGGATTGGGTCAGGTTTGGTGTTAGTCTAAATAAATCAGATCTATATAATATATTTTGAGTCTAATATAATCTAAATTAACTTATAAGCTCAGTATAAATTTATTAGTCTATTTAAGCTTATCAAATTTTTTTATAAAAATTTAAAATAAATAAATAAAATAATAATATTTCACTAATAACATTCTTTAAATAATTATTTATTTAAAATAAATAATATGATATATGCCAAAATTTGATAAAATTAAATTCATATTCTGTTTTCTAAATAAACTTATTTCAAGGCTGATTTTCCTTTTTACTGAATATTAATGTTTGCGTGCAATTTTTTTTAAATAAATATAAAATTCATCACTAATTAAGTCACAACATTATAAAACAATTCTCATATAAAATAAAATAAAAAATCAAAATCCATGTATTATCACAAACCTAACCAATGTTAAACGGGTTGTAGGTCTCGTACCAATAAATCGTTTTGCTTTTGCCCATATGCACTCCCAAATTTAATAATTAAATCATCGATTAAACTTTTAAGGAACACAGATTTAGCAGGCCACACCTGCAGGGAATCTTAGTGTGTCACTCTTACGTGGACTAATTTGAAGGTAACGTGGCAGTTCAAGAAAAGGACAGCTTATAAGCTTCTAGCTTGAAATGCACAAATAAAGTTTCATAAAGTTTTATTACCAAAAGAAAAATATAAAAGTTTCATAAAGTTTATATGTCATTGCTATAGTACATATAATTCGTCCTTTTCCGCGGTCAGAAAAAGTTTCATAAGGGAAAAATAGAGAAAATTTCTATTCTGTCTGATGATCTTACGTAAGTAAGGAGTATTATTAAAAAAGGGTAATGTTTTCCTCCTTTTACATGACACAAACAATCTTCTTACATAAACATAAAAGTGGGCCATAAATTCTTTTACTTTTCTTTTATTTTAAAAATAGTGGACCCCACAATCTCTTGTCTGTATGACATGACCTAAGAATTTTCCTACAACATAATATTAGTTTTTTCCATTAAAAAAAGGAGAGAATATTATTTATCAAAATTTGTTTACGTGGCAGCTATAATTACAGGAGATGTCATTTTCTAAATGGGGCATCCATCGGATCAGATTCATGTTCTATTTAAGCAAATGTGATTATCACGAATATTATTTATGCATTACCTCTCGAGGTGTCACTTGATATATGAAATTATATACTCGATAGTCATTATCATAATTGGACTGAAACAAAAAATATATAAGTAGTTTTACAAATTTGCATTTACTATTTACTAATTTCAGCTACATTACATTAACATGTTTCATCTTCAAAGAGTTTTAATTTGAGATCGTCCCAATTTCCTCTAGAAATGCATGTTTATGATTTCCACTTATTTGTTTCAAGCTATAAAGTAAATAAAAATATTAAAGTATAAAAATCAAGAAAAAGTAGAGAAAAGCATCGATTAAAGGCATGACTAAGAAAGGTCATCAAGCCAAAAACCAATCACGTGTCCACAGCAAAGGCAAAGAGGGTGTCGCGGACCTTTCTTTCTTCTTCACTTATATTTTTTATGATGTTCTGTTTTACCTCATTACCTATATTTTTTATTTTATATATTACATTTTTCAAGCATATTCCTTGAACCAAACCATTTTATGCTTTACTCTTTCTTTCTTTTTTCTGTTTTTTTTTTTTTTTGTATTTATCAATGCAAGCATATATTCCAATATCTTGAACGAGGTTAGTTTAATATTTAAAAAATAAAAAATAAAAAAATACTTGAAAAAAAAGTTTATATACATTTTATTAGGTAGATAGGTTTATATATATTTATGTGAATCAAAAGAACAAGATATCAAACTTCAACGAATACTTTTGCAAATTCCAGCTAAGGGACAACACTCATAGTAACGTACTGAATTTTAATGATCGGATCGCAAGTTCTATTTTTGGAAAGATTCTTTACGTTAAATGTGAAACTTTGCATTCTAAATCTTTTTTTTTTCTTTTCCAATCTCTTAAAGGAGTAAATAAATAAATCAAAATAAATTTAGAACTTTAGAGTTTACTTAGATGCTTTTTCTGTAAAATTAATGGTTTTGAAGATTAGATGCTTTAACGATAGTACAAATTTTTGTTTTCTTTCCACTAAAATAATAATGAATGCTATAAGCGCGTGATCTCACGCTCCACTTTCGGCAGAAAAGTGGAACCATATAAAAGTGGGCTCCACAGTACACTCTGTGTTGTTGTGGAATTTCTTTTGCATGGAAACAGCCATGGAGTGATGATGATGATGAGATTCGTTCCAATGTTCTCTCTCTCTCTCTCTCTCTCTCTCTCTCTCTCTCTCCTCTTTCTCTCTCTTCTCTGAAAATTCTCTTATTTTTCTCAATATCCTATTTATTTCTGTCAATTATTCTCTTTCATGGGCCATCGCTGAAATCCAAGTTCTTAGCGTGTAGCTCTTGTTCACTGCAGCCTCGGTACCACACCAAATTCCCCAACTTTTTCACGTTCCATTCTTCTTCTTTTTGTTGTTCACTGCGTCTTTTGCATTTTTGGGTACCCTCTTTGTTCCTGCTATATGAACTGCTTTTGGGTTCGATCCAAACTTTTTCTAGTTGCTGAAAATTTTTCCACTTTCTGTAACCGATTTTTGCAGTTGCGTTGTCTATCCCTCCCTTGAAATTTCTCTCCTCTGTGAAATTCCATTGCTTTCTGATTCTCCTAGTGCTGTGCCCTCGCATTGCGTTTTCAAAATTTTCTTTTGCCATTAAGTTTTTGAAGTTTCAACTAGCTTGCCAATATCTATTGGGAAAGTGGATATTCTTTTTCTTTGATTGTTTCTGGTTTTCCTTCAGCAATTGTGGGTGTTGTTTGCTGCAGCAATGGTTTCGTTAGCATTGTTTTCTTCAGCTTGTTCCTCAGATGCATTTCTGTTTGCTAGTGATTTTTATAATGTGTTTACAATCTTTTTACTAATTCCTTTATTATTTATCTAATATTTTTTCATGGTGAATGATTTTGCATATATAGAATTCCAAGTCCTGGATCTCCATAAAGGGAAAGCCAAAGCCAAAGCTGGATTTTGGATAAATGGGGTCTTCAAGCTCTAAAATGGAGGATGACAAGGCACTGCAATTGTGCCGTGAAAGGAAGAAGTTTGTTAGGCAAGCACTTGATGGTCGTTGCTCACTAGCAGCTGCTCATGTTTCATATGTTCAGTCACTGAAAAATACAGGAACAGCTCTAAGAAAATTCACTGAACCTGAAGCACCAAATGAGTCTTCCTTATACACTTCCACTAATGCAACACAAGAGCCACTGGCTCTTACTGAGAAGAACCTTTCACAGTTCTCATTCTCTTCACCATCTGTGTCACAACGCTTAGATTCAGCTGAACCTGAAACCTTCTCTCCAACTTCATCCCCTCCTAGTTCTAGTAAGTTCCAAGCAAATCATATGAAACTCAGCAGTATTTCTTCCAAAAAAATTGAAGAAAAAGTTCCCGTACCTGTTATAGGAACAGTAACATCATCAAGTACTCCACAAAATGCTGCTGGAATGTCTAAAACATCAGCATTTGAAGATGATTCTCTTCCAGCTGGAACTCCACAGTGGGATTTCTTTGGCATTTTTCATCCCATGGACAAATTTTCTTTCCAAGAAGTGAAGGGCTTGGAGAATGCTGATGATATAAAACGACTGAGGGAGGATGAAGGAATTCCTGAGTTGGAAAACGATGAAGATAAGGTTTCAACTCATAGAAGGGAAGGCTCTCGGGATTCTGAAGATGAATTTGATGAGGAGCCTGCTGCAGAAACTCTAGTCCAAAGATTTGAAAATCTAAATAGAGCTAATAATCATGTTCAAGCAAATATTTTACCTGCCACAACTAAGCATCTAACAGGGGATTCAGCTTCTGAAGTTGAGTTAGTAAATGGGGAGAAGGGAAACTCTCCTAATTTACCCTCATTGAAGACAGCACCTATGGTACCTTTGCTTCCACCTGAAACAAATAAATCAATGGCGAGAGAAAATCATAGTGATAGTGAAAATAAAGTCGCCCCTAAGAATTTCTTTGCAAGCATGAAGGATATTGAACTTCTGTTTATTAAAGCTTCTGAATCTGGTAAAGAGGTTCCAAGGATGCTTGAAGCAAATAAATTTCACTTTCGTCCAATATTCCCAGCAAAAGAGAGTAATCTTTCTGTCTTTCTTCTTTCTATCTGTCTCTGTGTGTCAGTTATCATCCTTGGAATATTAAATATCAGCAGTTCTTAGCAATATATAAGTAAAATACAATGATGAGATTTTGTATGACAAGTGTTTTTTTCCCCTCACGTTCTGTAACTAATGCAACTTCTGTAGACTACTTAGGATCTATAAACACCTGGCCAAAAATAGTGAAAGGAATATACTCTATAGGATATAGAGAGTCCCTGCTTGAATGTTCTACTGAGAGGATGGTACATTTGTTACCGAAATATCTTATTTCAAAAACAAGTTTCAGTTTCTGTTTCAAAGAGGCTTTTGGAAGTCTCTTTTAATTACTGTGTAATTTATTTCAAAATGAAATGCTTTAAAGTTTTAACCAGAGAACTCTTAATTGTAACAGATGGTTCCTTGGTATCCTCGTTTTTTAAGGCATGTTTCTCATGTGGGGAAGACCCAAGTCAAGTTCCAGAAGGTAATTTCTGAGTCATTTTTATTGTTGATCTTTCATGTTTCATGGACATTGCTGACCTTGTTGGGTTGAACCAATATTCTTGTTAGCTCTGAAAGTATTCCTTAGGAGTACAGATTTCCCCCCAGTAAAAGTGATGCAAATCTTATTAGGAAATATGGCTATTGTTGGTGTTTAAGAAATTGTGAATGTTTTGGATTCTGTGTTGTAGATAATCTAGGGACCCCACTATTTAATTGGGTTTTATGAGAAGATGTAACTGATGTTGATTCTTTCCTACTTATTTTAAAATTCATTTTGGTTTCCTTTCCATTTAAATGCTGCAGTATAGTAATAGCTTTCTCTGGTCTTCCATTAGAAGTGAAACTCATTTTACAAGACGTGGTCATATTAGACTATCTGGTTCTGAAGCATGTTTTACAAGGAATACACCGTATATAGCTTTGGGAATGTAGATACTTATTGCTGTTTGTTGAAAGCTGTTTTTGGAATTCAATATCTCATTTTTTTTTTCTTTTGTTCTTCCTAGAACCTGCTCAAGACTCGGTTAAGTACTTAACTTGGCATAGGACGGCATCATCTCGATCCTCTTCATCTAGAAACCCCTTGGGAGCAAACTCTATAGATGATTTACAGGACCTTACAAACAATCTCTTTGATAATTCCTGTATGATCTCCGGAAGCCATGCATCAACCTTGGATAGGCTATATGCTTGGGAAAGGAAGCTCTATGATGAAGTGAAGGTACTGCGTATTTCTTTTTGACTTTTATGTCAACCTTCTTTTTTTTTTTTTTTCTGTATGTTACATTTTTGATAATAGTATGTTGCAGAAGTCTTGTTTTGGATCTTAGAATAAACCCTCAAGTTATTCTGTCGACAGTTAAGTATTTCAAACAAATAGGTGCATGCCATAGAATACGGGCATTTCTGTCTGTTTGCTAATATCATTGTTTATTTGTGCAAATTACAGGCTAGTGAGATTGTCAGAAAGGAATATGACATAAAGTGTAAAATGTTAAGGCACCTGGAATCAAAGGGACAAAAGGCCTCCACTATTGATAAAACGCGTGCTACGGTCAAGAATCTGCACTCAAGAATCAGAGTTGCAATTCACAGGATAGACTCTATATCAACGAGGATTGAGGAGTTGCGGGACAAAGAGCTTCAGCCACAACTTGAGGAGTTGATCGAAGGGTATGGTTCTATAGCTTAAGCCACAACTTGTTTTAAGCCACAACTTGTTTTACTAAGTGTCTGTTTCGTGCTGACATGTGTTGACTTAATAATACATTGTATGCCCAGAAGGGTGGACTAAAATATGCACCATGAAGAGCAATCGGGAAATTCCTCAAGAAAAAAGTTTATAGAAAGTTTCTGTTAATATCTTCTGTAAAAGTTGTGCTCATATTTTATAAATGTGTTTTTTTTTTTTTTGGTAGACATAAAGGTCTTCATTTGGTTAAACTTTTTCAACTAAAACTATAAATTTGTTAAACTAAAACATAGTAGATACTCAAAAAGCTCAATTAATGAATTGTATAGTTTTGCTTTTGTGAAAGTCATTCTATTTCAAGCTTGGACTAAAGTACTCCCTTATTCAAAATTCTTATCCATTTTATATAGGGCCCTTCCAAATATAGGTCAAGCGGAGAAAATTCCCCCATGCTTTGAAACTCACCAACACGACTCTATGAGCTCACCAGTTCGTGCATATTGACTTCCTTTAGGGGGGTTTCTGCATATAATCTTGGGGGTCAATATGCACAGTTTGATGAGTTCAAGGAGTCTTGTTGGTGAGCTTCAAAGCTTAGGGAAGTTTCTACACATAAGCCATAGTAGGAGAGAACATAATTCTGGTGCAATGTAAAGGGACACTGCTTTCCTCCTCTTCTTTATTAGGGGCTGTTGTCGAATAAGAATTATCATTCTTTGCTCTCCAAATTTAGAAGTTAAGATTACCTATTGTGTCCAAGTTCTTGTATAAGGAGAAGACCTGCGTGTCAACAATTTAGCGTCTACAGATCATAAACGTTTTGTCTGAGTTAGGAGGTATCTTATAGTTCAATGTAACTGACATTTTTTTCCAAGTTCTAGTGTTAAGTTTAACTTATATAATTGATTATACGAGATTGCTGGCTTTCTATTTTGTAACTTGCTTATGCTGTACTAACAACCTTTGAATGCCGGTTTAATGACTTTGCATCAGTTATCAATTTATGTTTTCTCAAGCATTGACATGTTGGTTCACACATGTAAATATACTTGTTTTCATTAATATGAGCTTCTTCTTGTTTTGTACTTCATCTGCTTCTGTTATGCGTTGTTGGTAGGTTAAATCGGATGTGGGAAGTGATGTATGAATGCCACAAGCTTCAGTTTCAGATCATGTCAGCAGCATATAACAACAGCCATGCTAGAATCACCATGCATTCTGAAGTACGCAGGCAGATTACTACCTATCTTGAAAATGAACTCCACTTTCTATCATCAAGCATTACCAAGTGGTTTGGAGCTCAGAAATCCTATCTGGAGGCTATAAATGGATGGCTTTACAAATGTGTTCCTCCTCAAAAGAAATCATCCAAGAGAAAAAGGAGGCCACAATCTGAAATCACGAGATATTATGGCCCTCCAATATATACCACATGTGATGTCTGGTTGGAAAAGCTTGGTACATTACCTGTCAAGGATGTTGCGGATTCTATTAAGAGTTTAGCAGCTGATACTGCCCGGTTCTTACCGCATCAAGACAAGAACCAGGGAAAAGGTGCTGATCCTCATATGTCAATTTGGACAGCTGATATTGTTGGTGAATCATCAGATAGTTTATTGAGAGATGACACCTCAGAGGACTGGGTTGCAGGTTTTGATCGATTTCGAGCAAGCTTGATTAGATTTCTTGGTCAATTAAATAATTTGTCTGGTTCTTCTGTCAAAATGTACAAAGAACTTAGACAAGCCATTCAGGATGCTAAGAGTAATTACCATCGATGGAGTTCTCAGTCTCAAAATGGTAATTTGAATTCTCAATCTCAAGTGGTTTAATCTAAAAATAGACATCCAAATTCCAAACAATAAGAAAAGGATCGCATGAAACGTTGTTGAGTGGCAGAATAATAGCTTTGTGCTGAGCATACAAGTCCACTGGATGGAGCATTTCTGCATTTGTACATGAAAGGATGTAATAAAGTCATTACTGATTTTCCATACTTAATTTTTGTTAGTTTAGTCCTTTTAAGAATAAATGGGAGCTGATAGATTGCTTTGGTGAGGTTGTGACTGGGTGTTACAGATTCGGTAAGAGCTGTAAGTACAGTTCTGTAGTGAAGAAATTTGGCTGCAAATACAGAACTTGTATAATGCTATTTTTTTAAACAAAGGTTTCTGGTAGAACTTCTGAACTTGTACTTACTCTTCTTGATTTTTTTTATTAATGTCATTTTTTTTTCATTTATGTTATAGGATTTAATATTTCTTTTGTTGTTGGAGACAAATTTATCTTCAACGTACATATAAAAGCACAGAGGACCCATATTTTCTTTTTCTCTCGCTTATGAGAATAATGTTTCTCATGTTATAGGAAATAAATTTATTTCTTACGTATACATAAAAGTGTGTGAGACTTGTATTTTCTTCTTCTCTTCTCATAGCCCTACATGAGCTCCATACATTTTTATGTATGTGTAGGAGATAATTTTATCTATATCATATGAAAACATTAATCCCTTATTAGTTAATATTTATTTGAATATTAAAAAGGAGCTCTCGTAAGTGAGAGCTCTTGTAGTAGATCATCTTGACTAGTAAACTCCCGTGTGTTTGTGGAATTGTTGAGGAAATCAGGATGATATTCTTGAGAACTTGTCTCAGATGCATTGAATCACAGCCCAGATTGATGTTGAAAAAATGCAATTTGGACGTAAGAACTAGACTTGGTCATGGTGAATTTGTAATTGTAATAAGGTAAATCAAGATAATCTCCAAGGTATATCCAAATAAGGAGACTTCTATGATTTTATTTTTTTTGTAAGAAACTTACTCTCTTCTTTCACCTGAGCCTTCTCCTTCCTTGTTACTACGATTGACATTGGTTCTTTTGCTATTGATACATCATAACATTGCAACCTTACTCCCAATTGACTAATTGTAAGACATCTCACCATAGCAGTAACTCTTAATAAGAGAAATTACAGCAACCTCTAGTAAGCTATGTAATATAAATATGGGTCAATGGGTAGTTATGTTATATTACAACACCCTTCTCTTCAAGTTCTTGAATATGAGTTAGACAAAAAGAAATGAACAACTTTCTTAATTACCCCCTCACCCCTCCCCTAGAAAATAAAATAAAATAAAATGGTTACCAGATGCACTTACCTAGATATATAAACAAATTCATCTCTATTTTACCCCAAAAAAAGTCCCTAATGCTTGTTTGTTGAACTTTGTTTATTTATTTTTTTTAAATAAAAATAAAAATAAAATCATAATACTTTGATCAGTTTGATGACGGAGATTGTGACGATGGCAACAGATCTAGCGGCATAAAATAAAACAATCTGAGCATGCTTTCTTCAGCATAAATCATGTGTTTATTTTATTTTTATTAACAGTATATTTTTCCTATATTTTAATATTTTTATACGTTATATAATTGTCTGTGATGGTACTAGAAATCCTTTTTTAAAGCTAATGGCACATAGCTGAAAGCTCGTGCAGTTTTTGATTTTGACATCGTTCCCTGGCGTATTGATTGTCTTTTTAAATAGAAACTTGAAGTTTTTTATCAATAATTTTGCTGTCCATAATTTGTAAACGTTAGGCTCAGTCCAGTTTTGTATATTCTTTTGGCCAATTTTCCTGTGACGGTTTGTACAAGAAATATTTTTTTTCTTCTTTACGTTTTGACCAATTAAATAAAGTTCGTGGTTAAATGAGTATTTTATTAGGAAAAAGAAGAAGAAATAGTGTAGTTATACAAAATCTTACTAGCATACTTAAGCTTTTCTTTGGATATTATTAGCATACTTAAGCTAGTTAACATTAAATCTTACAAAGTTTTTATATTAAGTAAAGTATAAATGTATTATCGTTGAATAGTTATTCAGACTCCCGTTGTGAAGGTGGAAGGTGGTGGTGATCTGTTGTGAAGTAAGAAAGTTTTTCCTCCTAAAAGATTAAAATAACTTCCTCTATTTAGGTATAATTAAGAATGATTCTAAACTAAAAGTCAAAAAAATAAAAATAAAAATTCTTATCTACATATAAAAAAGAAGAATCATAGCCTCTTCCATCTAAAAGTTGGAATTAGCTTTGGCTTATTAAAATACGTAGTGAAATTCTACACACCGTTGTGAAATGAAACAACTTTACAGTGACTTCTAATTACAATGATAATACGAAAGCATAAAAGAATGAGACAATGAAAAACTAATTTGAAATGGTATATACTTATATGGGACATTGAAGGAGGGTGTGACTTAGGTACAAAAGTTTCCTTCCAAGTATAATCAAATAGCGGTCTAAATAAGTTAGATTGGTCTATATTATGTTAGGTTTGACATATTATAAATAGTAAAATAAAATAGCACTAGACTTTTAAATAAATCTAATTAGAAAACAGCCCATAGACTTTTTTTATATTATAAGCATGTACGTCGGCCTATATCATATCATTTATTTTAAATAAAATAAAATAAATTATTATTTTAATAATTTTGAATAATAAAATAATATTATTTTATTTATTCTTTTAACTGTTGAATGTTTAATAAGCTTAAACAAACTAACAGACTTCTATCAAAAATTTTATTTTTTAAATATAGGTCAAAGTTTAGGATGTATACAAATCAGCCAAAGTCAATATTTTTTATATATATATAACTTATTTAAGTTAAAGTCTAGTATAAAATAATTATTTACACCATCTCTTTGTGCATATAAATCCCACTCGTTGATTTCGCAAAAAGTAGACTTTTTCCCATTCATTGGTTTTTTTGACTAAGTAATATATATCTGCTTTGTTAAAACAAGTAAGCAAACTTGGTAATTTACAGCTGCCAACAACTACTACTACGAGTCTACGACTCTTGGATTTGGTTATACAATAACATTAACTAAAATTAATTGGAACTTAGGTACCCAAAAAAAAAAATTAATTGAAACATAGAAATTTTATTTAAAACATTAAGGAAAGCATACTATAATATAAAGCATTAACAGTTACTTTTGACTTTATTTATTTTATAAATATTTGATTCATTTATTTGTTTCGTTATTTTTATTTTTTGTTTTAAATACATTGTATTTTTTTTTATAAATACTTTAGTTCAAATTTTTATTTCATAAATTACTTATATTGTAAAATTATTTATAAGGTCTGAAATTACTTATATTGTAAAAGCAAGTAGTTTGACCATTTTTTGGGTACAGAGCAAGCTATTGTTTCAGAGATCACCAACCAAACAACATGATTTCAAGAATGAACACTGAAACTAATTTCTTCCGAAAAAAAAATTTGAATGTCTCCAGCAAAATCAAATCGAATCAAATACTAACATGAATTATGTATCAATAAATGTAACACCATCTAATGTATTGTATAATGTCTGAAAACATCACTACAGTATATTCAAAATCAACATCAACAACATCACTACAGTATGTTAAATAAAAAAAATAATGTATAATCTCATAAAGGTTTCCCCCTATCTCTATAACCAAACACACCCTTATCACCACAGATTCACTCTGTAATTACAATGCTTAGAAACAATCTTGGCCTTCACCGTCAGATCATTCACCTTTACATCACAGTCCACCTTAACGGTAATCTTCCACGTCTTAACGGACCCCACTTTTATTTTTACCGGCGCCCTCAGCCTAACGGTCAACGGCACTTCCTGTTTGGTCTCCGCCCCCAGCAACGCTTTTAGATCCTCGCTCGTCAGCTCGATTCCGCTCCCCTTTAACGACGTCTCAAACACCGTTACATTATTTGACGGCTGGAAAAACGCCGGCAGCGCGCCGTTACACAGCCTCACGTCGTTATAGAAGATTTCTGCGGAGCTATCCGTTTCGTAACTGATCCCGATCTTCTTGTTAGGGTTGTCAGCCCTGACGGTGACATCAAACTCCGGCGAGATTGCCGCCGTGGACGACAGCGACGTGACATTGATCCCTCTGATGGCGATGCTGTCGATGGTGTAGTTCGGCGCCTTCGGACGGAAAACGAGGTAGAGGACGCCGGCGGCGATGCCGAGGAGCACGATTAGGATGAAGATGAGTCCGATAAGCCAGCAGAAGCAGCAGCAGCAGCGGCTCTGGCGGTGTTTCCGGCGAGTGTATTGGTCGTAGCGACGGGCGTTCTCCGGCGGAGGGACGCGGTAGACTTGGTCCTTGGGGATCTGGATGACGTAGGTTCCCGGCGGTGGAACAGGCTTCTCAGATGGAGGCGGTAGGAGTGCCTTCGGAGCGACGGCGGCCTCCTGAGACGAGGTCATTTGTAATTCTGAGGAATCGGGGGGCGAGTCGCGGGGGTGAACTCGGTCAGCCATTGAGTGAGTCAGTGACGAATGAAGGAGCTATCTGCAAAATGAAAATGCAAACTGCAAAGAGAAAGAGAGGACAGTGAGTGAAGGTCACAGCTTTGTTCCGTGGGAATATAAAAGAAGCCGTTTGCGCGTATGTAATACCTCACACGCCTTAGGGGTATATATGGAATTTGATCAATGCATGAAGTGTTAAAAACTTTAGGTACATTTAGATTTGGATCATAGTCACTAATTAACGGTGAGATAAAAAATATATATATATATATATAATTTTTAAATGAACGATGGTGATCAATATTTTTCCTTATAAAAAGATCCAAATCTATCATATATAGGTATATTTTTGCATAATGAGAATTTTTTTTGGGATTTAATGAGAAAATAAAGAAAAATAAGGGCATAAATAGAAAAATATTTTCTCCATTTGAAAAAAAAAATGTACCTAAATAATTACATCCGATGTATTCAAAAAAAATTCCCCTTGGAGGGAGATGTTAATTTAGGGATGCTTATAATGATAATGATAATGATAGAGACCAAAGCACGGTAGAAGCTTTCATAGTGCTGGACAAGTATACTCATAGTGTTGGACAGATATACTGCAATAGGAGAGTGTGTCTGAATGCTTATGGAGGCTCCACATTTGAGCATAGTAATAGCTCATGAAGAGAATAAATCTAAAGATGCCCCTTCATGAGAAATGGTGTATTTAGGGAGAAGAGATCACTTTCAAGCATGGAAAAGAGAATATGTAGCTCTACCCAGGGGTAAATGGGCTAGGCCGGTCCTATAGGGGCCTGCGGCCTAGTCTATATTAGGTCAGACTTGGTCTGTTATAAATAGTAAAATAAAATCGGTCTAGATTTTTAAAAAAACTTATTTAGAAAACATGTCATAGGCTTTTGTGTACATGTCGGGCCTATAAACCTATCGGCTGGCTCATATTATATTATTTATTTTAAATAATATAAATAAAATTTTTATTTTAATAATTTTGAGTAATAAAGCAATATTATTTTAGTTTTTTTTTAATTGTTGAATGTTTAATAGGCTTTAACAGGCTAACAAATCTAGGCTAAGACTTTTATTTTTTAAATACAGGTTAGACCAGACTTATAATTTGAGATTTACATAGACTAACAGACCAGATCATACCCAATATTTTTTTTTTTACATAAACCTAACCTATTTAAGTCAAAGTCTAACCTAGTCTAGTATATTCTATTTCCAGCCTAATGTATTTGATTAGGCATGTTGAATCTACTTTTACTGTACCGGGGACAAAAGGTGTAGAAAAAAAGAGAGGATCCTATATAATGAGGTTGTCACCTAGAAGATTTTAGACATGGATATTTGATATTAGGTCCAACGGATCGGATCTAAAAGGGCCCGCCAGAACAATGCATATAATTTAAATATTTTTATTTTTATTTTTCTTCTTCTTCTGAATGGTTTATTTCTCTAATATTATTTTTTCTATTTTAATTTTATAAACAGAAAAGGAAAACATCTTGATGCTGCATTGCACGATAGAAGTATGACAGATGGCGTGATTATCTCTCACCCATCTAATCTCTAATTCTCTCAAAATTAATTAATAAAAATTGCAAACCATAATTATTAATAAAATTTAATATTTATAAAAATATTAATATTAATATTTATAATGAATATATAATAAATGTAATAAATAAAAAATAAATTAAGGAGGCGAAGTGGGGTACAGTTAAATGTGGGATCACTTAAGGCTGGCAAGCTTAGAAAAAGCATGGAAGCAAAGAAACGAAAGCGAAAAGGTCAATAATAGGAGTGTTTGGTTGTGTCCCTTTGGATTTCGCATTCTTTGATGGGATCTAATTTTTTTTGTAAGCACACGGGATGCTAATTGCTATTTGATGACTCATTTGTCTGCGACTTAGTTGGCGCTTTGCCACACGCGGTTTTAGCCTGTAATGTAATATTTTCCTTTTGAATATTCCTTTGTCTTTCCACAAAATTAGTACGCTTGTAATCTTTTTTGTTTATACGATGTTTTATAACTAAAACCCTCCTATATTATGTACCAAATAAAATAAGGGGAATATTACTCTTATGTGACATGAGAGAATTTTTCTCTCATGCACACGCAACTTGGAGGAGAGAGGAGAGAGAATAGAGGAAAGAGAAAAAATAGAGAGTGGACTCTACCCTTGATTTGTGAGTGCATGAGAGAAAAATTCTTTCATGTTACATGAGAGTAATATTCCCCATAAAATAAATTCCTCCTATATATATATATTTTTTTTTATATATATTTTGCTTGAATTAGTCTCATAGGTTAGGTGTGGAGTGTTATTGATTCCTTTGGACTAATGCACCTAGCCACAGTCTGATTTATGTAGCCAATTGGAGAATAGCAGTTCTGATAGCTGATGGGATAAAAAAATGAATTTGGGCTCATTCACAACCAAACTGGTGAGACTTTATTTACATATAATTGTGGATTCTCTCCTTACTTCTTCTTTTTTTCCTTCTCTGTTAGTTAGAATTTATCAAATGAGCATTGATTTCTATATAAACATTTTCTTCATAAATCCAATACAAAGAAAAAAAAAATCATCCGTTACTTTATATGCAGTCAAAAATTTCTAACCACACGATCAATTTCTATGTAAAAATCAATCTGTGCAACTTAGTCAATAGCGTATAATTTTTTTTTTGGTAGTTGGTAGGGCATAGACCCAACCAACAATAGCGTATAATTTTATTTTAGAACAAGAGTGGGGATGAGTAGTATTTCGCAATACTTTCGAAGAGAACTAATACAACTCGGGAAAAGTGTATATTATTATAGGTTTTTGATTTTCTTACGTGGTGAGACAAAATTGTCTCATGGAGACACATCTTATGTGAGACTTATATCTATTAAAAAAATAAAAAAATAAAAGAAAATATTGCACGAAAATCGAAAAGTTATTAGGAGAAAACAACTCTTATATAACATGAGAAAATATTTTTTTCATTATTATAAGGGAAAAATGTTTATCCTTTTAAATGACACAACTTATATCATTTTACTCTCACGAAGAGGTGGCACCCATATCTTTATATATTTTTGTCAACTCTCTCTCCTCTTTTATCTATCTCTTTCTCTCACTTAAAATGACACAACTTTACATCCTTTAAAATGATACACACTTTTTCCTTATTTTAAAATAAGTAAAGTTGTGTCATTTTAAGTGAGAGAAAGAGATAGATAAAGAGGAGAGACTGGACAAAAAAATAGACTAAATATTTTTTTTGGTCCTTAGCAAATTTCTCGATGCCCGCTTTAGTCCCTAACAAATAAAAAAGTTATTCGTGGTCTCTAAGAAATTCAAAATCGACCCATTTGTGATCCCTCACAAATTAAAAAAAGATCCACATTAGTCCCTCAAAAGGACTAAAATGGGTCCACTTTAAATTTTTTAAGGACCACGAATAGAGTTTTTATTTGCTATGAACTAAAACGGGTATCACAAAATTTGCTGAGGACAGAAAAAAGATATTTACAACTTGGGAAAGTGTGTATTGTTTTAAAGTATGTAAAGTTATTTTCACCAAAAAAAAAAGTATGTAAAGTTGTGTCATTTTAAGTGAGAGAAAGAGATAGATAAAGGAAGAGAGAGAGCGGACAAAAAAATATAAAGGTGTGGGTCCCATCTTTTTATGAGAGTGAAATAACACTAGATGTGAGATTTAAAAAGAGAAACATTTTTCCCATCCAACTTACTCTAAATAGTATTTAATTAAAATAATATTTTATCATTTTTACTCAATTTGTTATCTATCTATTTAGGTTTATCAATATTCTATATATATGTGTGTGAGAGAGAAAGAAAGAAATTAACTTAAACTAATATAAAAATAATAAATTTTAATTTATTTGCAACATGAGTTATTAGATGCAAGAGGAATTAATCATTAAAATTAAAAGTATAATTTATAATTGATTGCTTCGAAAGTAAGGAAAAAAAAAAAAAATTCTTCCACCGAAACAAAATATATAAGATAACCTTCCTCCCCTAGAATAAGTTTATGAGAGAGAAAAAAATCCGGTGGGAGGGGAAGGGGGGTGGGTGTTCAAGTGTGCATCGTTTAGTGTTTTTACAATATGTATAACTATATACTTAATATATAAGTATACACTTAATAGGGATTTGTATTTGTCATTTAACATGACACAACAAATTTTCCTACACACACAATATTTTGTGAGGTCCACACTTTTTGAAGAAAAAAGAAATTACGGCACGCAAAACGAATCTCTATAACATTACACAATCACTTTTCCTACAACATAACTCTTATAAACTCATAGTTATAATATGAAAATATAATTCTTTTATTTTTCATGTTAGTTGAAGTGACCGAGAAAAGAGAAAAAAAATATTTTTTTTATATTATAACTATATAATATTCATATTATATAGTATTAAAAATTAAAAGGACACAACTTAAATTATTTAAAAGGACAATTTTTTTTTTAAAAAAAATATAAGAAAGAGAGAAAGGGGATGAAAAAAGAAAAAAGGAATTAATTGCAGCCTGCAGGAATTGAACCGAATACTCTCTTCCTCTCCAGCCTGGTCTCTACTCAGCATTCATTTTTTTGCTCTTCCTCCCTTCTCCTTTCTTACACACTACGTACTCTCTCATATCTTTCGTTTGAATCCAATGCATGTGATAGCGTCGAGGAATTCATCAATTAATGAAGGAAACACGTTCGTCTTTCTATCTTCTTTTCTTTTATTTCTTATTTTTTTAAAAACCTTATATTTCATATTAGAGAACTGGTCATTTATTTGTCTTTCTGTCACAAAATTGATGATATTCTGACTTCTGTATTGGCGGAGTCAAAAAACTTTCTGAAAGGGCCAAATTATATTTATGGGAAAAGTGTCTATCATTTTAAATTACACAACTTACATCCTTTCACTCTCACAAAGAGGTGGGACCCACACCTTTATTTTTTTTTGTCAACTCTCTCTCCTCCTTTATCTATCTCTTTCTCTCTCTTAAAATGACACAACTTTACATCCTTTAAAATTATACACACTTTTCCCTATATTTATATATACATTTTAAAATTCATAATAAAAGGCCAACACATTCAAAATTTAATAGAAGTCAATCCTGCATCAAATCTAAAGAGTTAAAATAATGAGACTAACGTTTCTACTCTCACAGCAAATAATGTTGAAATAACGTTTTGGGATTAAAAATTAAGAATATTTAAGTAAAATTCACAATACAAAAAAAATATAGGCTCGGTTTGATTTCTGTTTTCGAAAACAGTTTTTTAGTTTTGAGAACAAAAAAAACTAAAAAACTCGTTTGGTAAGACTTGTTTTGTAAAAAATGTTTTGAAAACTGTAACTATTTTTTTTTTTTAAAATCAAATTTAGAAAACATGTCTGAGTTGTTTTTGTTTTCTGTTTTGGTTTTAACTTTTAAAAAGAAAAAATATAGAAAACAACTGTTTCCATAACTATTTTACAAAACAGTTTTAAGAACAAAAAAACCAGAACACAATCAAGTAGGCCCATACATTTTTTGAAATATCCTTTATTTTTAGAGTAAAGTCCCTTTTGGATTTCTAACAAAAAATACGATCCTCACTTTAGTCCTTTATAAAAAAAAAGTCCTGAAGTCCCTAAGAAATTCGAAGTGGATCCATGTAGTTGAAACCGTGGTCCCTCATTAATTCAAAAAAACTCAAATTAATCCCTCATAAGGACTAAAATGGGTCCACTTTGAATTTCATAGGGATCAAACGACTAGTTTTTTTTTTGTAAAGGATTAAAGTGAGGATCATATTTTTTGTTAGGGACCCAAAATGTGTTTTACTCTTATTTTTATTTCTAAATCCCAAAACAACATTATTTTGAAATTGTAACAGATAAAATTATTTCTTACGATGTAAGAAACTTTTACCTAAATTAAAATATGAGTTCGTTTTTTGTGCACTAAGCCGAATATGACATCATTTTGAGGCAAAAATTATGGTATTTTTATAATTTTAATTTATTTTAGTGTTATTATAGTCTTTACAATTATAATTTTTTAATCATTCAATCCCAAAATGATGTCGTTTTGAGAATAAATGCAGATAACTTATCTGCATTAACTGCAGAAATATTTTTATGATAAAATATATTAACAAAAGTTTTTTTTGTGAAAAATAATAGAATTTATTGTTTTTGTTTTTGCTGCAAAATTTTTTATGAAATAAAAGCAGAAACATTACATCCAAAATCATATACATGTATATCCTCGAAACCCTTATCATGAATTTGAAAATAGACAAGGCACATACTGTTTAGATCTTAATCGCATAAACAAGATTAGATCGTAGCCGTTTGTGTCTCTGGTGAAGAGAACTCGGTTGTATGCAAAGGATGGAGAATAAGCACAATTCAAGAAAGTAAACAGAGTGATGGAGAGACAGAGGAAAACATATATCACTGCTTCAGAGCTACTACTAAGTAAACATACGCTATTTCACTCCCCTTGTCTCGGAAAAGAGTAAACAAGGTAACTAATTAAAGTGATTTTTATTCATTCAGAATTTTTTATTTGAATATTATCTAGTGTGTGAAGTGATAAGTACTTTACATAAAAAATAATATTAGAAATGATTAATTCTTCAATAATTTGTAAAAATTGGAAAATGATGTCCGATTCGATGGATAATTGGATATAGAGTCATCCACTCATTAGTGATTAATCCGCAACAGTGACCAAAGTGTCACTTTTTGCTAAATTTTTTTATCCAAACGCCACTCGAACAATATTTCGTGGTCAATGATTTTGTGACACGTGGTCATATTGCAAACTAAATTTGCTACCAAATTATGATATGTCAGCTTTTTCCTGTGAAAGTGTGCCACGTGTCACAAAATTATTGGCGAACGTAATTTGGTACCCATCGTAGCGAAATACGCCACGTGACAGTATGATAAAAAGTAATATTGGCGTGTCATTTGGATAAAAAATTTACCAAAAAATGACATTTTGGTCAATATTCTTATCAATCCTACAGAGTAATTGTAAAAACAGCATCTAAACGAATAAGTAAGTGTCGATTCCCAAACGGTAGGTTTTCATGTATATAATACTATTTCCATCACTGGTTTCATCACAATCCAAGGAAATAGTAAGTCATCAATGGAAGTTCAAGCTGTGTTGGTTTTCATTCTTGTGAGCATGTGTGCCTCAGGGGCTTATTCAGCTACATTTACATTCACAAACAATTGTCCATTCACAGTGTGGCCGGGAACCTTAACTGGTGGTGGAATGCAACAGTTATCAACAACAGGCTTCGAACTTGCTTCCAAGGCTTCCTTTTCTTTGCATGCTCGAGATGGTTGGTCAGGTCGATTTTGGGGAAGATCTCAATGCTTCATGGATTCATCTAACAAGTTTACATGCGTCACAGGTGATTGCGCCTCTGGTCAAATCACATGCAATGGTGCTGGTGCTATCCCACCAACATCTTTGGTAGAACTCACTTTGGCTTCAAATAATGGTGGTCAAGATTTCTATGATGTTAGTCTTGTTGATGGTTTCAATTTGCCACTCTCATTGACACCAATAGGAGGTGATGGTTTGTGCAGCCCAACTAGTTGCCCTTCCAATGTGAATGCTGTTTGTCCTTTGGATTTGGCTGTGAAAGGTTCTGATGGGAGTGTTGTTGGCTGCAAGAGTGCATGCTTGGCCTTCAATACACCACAGTACTGTTGCACTGGTGATTTTGGTAATCCTCAGAGTTGCAAACCAACTAACTATTCAGAAATCTTTAAGGGGCAGTGTCCTCAGGCTTATAGCTATGCTTTTGATGATAAAACCAGCACTTTCACATGTTCTGGTCGACCTAACTATGCCATCACTTTCTGTCCATGATTCAAGAGTTACTACTTTCAATGTAATTTGCCATAAATATAATTAATAGCCAATATAATTTGGTTGAGTCAGTGGGAAAGGTGTTTCAAATTGTTTACAAGAAGTTATAAATTTATATAATTGTATCAAATTTTGCTACATTTTGGTAAAGAATGTTGAAATATAAGTTGTTTATTGACTTATTTTATTTAAAGCATACATTTTGCTTTAATTTCATCGTCGCACTTCATGTGTTGCAGCCGGCAAGGTGTTGGATGATTATCCACAGTGGTGGTGCAGCTATTTATTTATTTATTTATTTATTTTTGTGGATATATAGTAACTACTTTACGGAGATTTTTTCAGTAATACGGAGTACCGAACTCGATACTCTCTTTTACTAAAATAGGAAAAAAAATCATTTTAACCCATACTTTTTGTATGGATATACCTACATCTATTGCACCAAAGATTTTCTCCTACTTTGGATTGGTTTGATTTGAAATGGACCAATGCCGGCTATTGGCTTAGGCTTCATGCCACTATCGAAGGAAAGATATCTTAATGAACACTCAACTAGTCTGCTTCTTCAATAAGTAAATTGATTATTGTTTTTAGGTTCAATTGTCATCAGTTATCTTAATTAATCCTTGCAGACAAATTTAAGGATTTTATTAAACTTTTGACGTTTGAATGTTCACTTACTGCAAAATTGTTCTGTTTTTTAAATCAAGGGTATTGTCATCTTACAACTACATTGACATTTGACACATTATACAGCAAAATAAATAATAATAATAATAATAATAATAACGCTCAAAACATGTCTAACGATTTATGCTTGTTTATTACCTACTAAAAGTTTATTTCATAAAAGTTTGGATGATTTATATTTATTTATACTGTGATTTATTAGAAGTTTATTTATATTTGATTATTACGTGAAACTTATGTGTGTATAATGTAAGAGTTTTTAAGGCCAACAATAGAGTACTTTAGTCATCATTAAAAAAAATTCTTCCATAATTGCTAGAACTTATATTAACGACACAAACTTATATTAAAAATTAAGGCCAAAAATTATTCTTCCATAATGAATTAATGACAGAAACTTATATTAACAGACAATTACATTCCTTATTACAATAGATATGACATGATTATTGAATTATTGGTAAAAGATTATACTCTCCATTATTTGATATTTATATTGATTTTATTTTATATAAATGAGAAGGTGGTGAAAAACAGGAGAGGATGAAGTCAGTAAACTGAAAAAACCGATTGTATGGGAAGAGGTCAAGAGGGTATACACCATATTGATTTCCTCATGTATAAATGGGTAAGGTGGTAAAATCACTGACACAGAGAGGGGTGAAATCGAAAAAAAAATTGTATGCTCCAATACCATATAAAATTTTGGTGGTCTCGATCTCACAAACAGAATTTTTTTCCCCAATCTTATCCATGTTTTTTTTTTTCATTTCCCTTTTTATCCTCTCTATTTGTGAGCAAGGAGCACCTAGTTTTGATGCTCCCTTACCATAGAAAATTCGCCTGTGAAATCGATCATTGGACAATCCGATTGTATGGTATATTGTACGGATTTTGATATCTCTAATGCACCTAATCTCAAATAGTTCATGCGCAATGCAATTCTCTGTGTTATTGGAGAAGAGGAAAGTTTTCTATACACTCTAATTCATGGAGGGCCCATACATAAAAAAAAAAAAATTATTGCACGCAAAACGAACTCTCACTGACACGAGAAAAGAACTCTCCTACAACATGAGAACTATTTTTCCCATAGTTTATATGACCAAATGTTATAATTGTAGCATTAATGTATTACGATTATAGCATTAATGATGATTACGATGCTTAGTGAGATAGTTACTTTACATAGCTTTCGTGACTATAGTCTCACAAGTTCGATTCTCACCGCCTCATCGTATTGATAAATAATTAGATATTAAGAAATTTTTAGGATCTCAACTGCTCTTATGTGAAGGGGAAAATGGTTATTTACACCAAAAGTCTACATAACAATCCATTCCTATCCCCTCTTGGCACAGGAACATGAATGGCTGATTAACATGTAGCAAAAACAATTCCCAGATGGAACAATACTGTAAATTCAACAATATACAATCATCCCATTCAAGGGTTGAAATTAATGAATTTCCTTTGATAAAGAATTTTATTTCTTACTCTGACTTGTTGTAACTCCTATGGAGAGTTGTCATCAAGGGACAAAAATTTAACAAACATAAAAAATAATTCAAACAAAACAACTATAGATAATAATGATGATGTTAGTGGTTAAGGCTATGATCAGCAACTCTACCTTATTGTTGAAAGATCATCAAAGACCGTTTTCATATCAGGCCTCTCAGATGCTGAAAGAGTGCATCTAAGAGCCACCTTCAGCATTTCATCAAGTATTCTAGATGATCCTTCTCCATTATGCTTTTCCACAAGAAACTTGTCAAAACACTGGCTAGAACGATCTTGTTCAGCTAAAAACATAACCCATTCTGTTAATTCAACCACCCCTGGAATCCCAGAAATGATTTCACCAGGATTTCTTCCTGTTAGGAGCTCTAACAAGATAACACCAAATGCATAGACATCACTCTTCAAGGAAGGGCATGGTTTGTTTGATCTAGCAAACTCAGGAGGTCGATAACCAAGTGCACCAGCATTCAGAACTTGCTCAGCAGTACCAGAAGCAGTGAGTATTCGGTGCAGGCTATAGTCAGTGAGCAAGGCATTTCTGTTAGGATTTTCTAGTAGAATGTTTGTGGATTTAAGATTGCCATGAGGTATGGCTTTCTCATTGTGTAGGTAATGCAGACATCGCGCAACCTCTACAGCCACCCTGAGCCTTTCATCAAGAGACAAAGGATGGAGACTTCTTTTATCTGGCTCTGCAGAAAAAAAAAAATGAAACAATTAAATAAAACTGGCTCTATACAGTTGAAATTTCCGATATAGATGTTGAGTTAGTAAGGCTTTAAAATCAGCTTATCAGAATGAAGCAAAAACTCTTCCAGGACTTGTAAATAATTGATTCTCAGTTGTTGAGAGACCAAAACATTAGCATCTTCAAACAAACTGACTCTTAAAAAGCAAAAGAAGTTTTAATCTGTCTTGTAAATAACCTTGGGATACACCACCCCAAAAGCTAGCTCAAAGGGTGGGAGTGCTCAAGGCCTTATAAACTCCACATTAGTTGCACATACAACCAATATGAGACTATATATCTCAACATGTCTTCAAAACGACCATCCTGCAGGGACTCCAGCTAGTAAATATTGTTCAAACTACAAACGCATAAAAATCATATCAAAGATCTACTACAACCTAAATATCCACACAAAAATGTTAAAGAAAAATATCTCTAGCATACTTCCAGTTACCTAGTATACTTAATATTTTATAAATTAGCCAACATTGTGAAAGAGCTTCATATATTTCAAACTAAAATTAAATTCTACGCGGTTAATCACCCTTCAAACCAAATAATATCAGAAGTATTAAAACCAAAAAGCCTAGGCTTTATTGTGCAATCAAACATGAAGCCATAATCTTACCATGGAGATAAATGTCCAAAGATTGTGCATTCATGTAATTTGATATAATCAGTCTCTCGTGATCCTTTGGCCCCAGGTAGTAACCCTGAACAGAAACCAGGCTTGGATGCTTGATAGTCCCAAGTTTCTTTACTTCCCGTGCAAACTCTTTTTTTCCTTTAGTTATTCCTTCTCTTAACCATTTGACAGCCAATGCATGAGCAGAGTTGAGTGTAGCTTTGTAGAGTGTTCCATGACAACTCGTGCCAATAACTTCCGCTGGAGCACATGAAAGTTCTTCCGCTGTCAGCGTCAATGACCCATCAAATAGATGCAAGTCCCCAACCAGTTTATCTGGAGAGGTTGCTTTGAAGGAACCAGGATTCTCAAACTGGTGGCTTTTAGAAGATGAAGGATTTGAAGCGGACAAAATAGACTTTGAAGAAGAAGTTCCTTCCTCATTCTTAACTAATTCAGAAGGGCCAAGATCTTTTGGCTTCTTGACCATTGGATGAATGTTTCTCTCATCATCAGCAGACCCCCTTTGAGAAGGTGGCAATGCTTCCAAATTTCTGTTAGGTTTCTCTCTATTTGATGTGGAAGAACTCTCTTCGGTGATGCCTCTTGCTCCATTTTGTTTAGAAGTCTTTTCTTTTTGCTGATGAACCCTATAATAAATCATTATACCCAAAAAAGCCATCACCAAAGCACCAATAACCAAACATGCAACCAAGGCACTCCTAGTTACAGATTTTTTATGTAACCCATGTTCCCTAAAACCTAGGTTGGAAGTATCTTTTGGTGATAATTGTGAATGTGGAAATATCAGCATAGTATTTCCTGGATGAAATGCTGATTCAGGAAACTGCATTAAGTTGTCTGGTACAACGCCAAAAAGATTATTGAAGGACACATTGAATCCTCTCAATTCAGCTGGAAGGTCATCTGGAATAGCACCTTCCAATTTGTTGTTACACAGATTGAGATATGCCAAATTGTGAAGCTTACTAATTTTTGAAGGAATAAGCCCGCTCAAGTTGTTGTATGAAAGATCAAGAAACACCAAACTAAAATTGTCAGCTGAAACTAATGAATTATTTGGAATTTGAAGTTGAATACCAATTGATCCAGAAAACTGATTGTTCGAGAGGTTGAGATTAGTCAATTTGGTTGAGGTGAAAAGGCTTGGTAGGAGGAACCCAGAAAGCTGGTTGAGGCTAAGATCAATCTCTTTTAGTTCTGGGTATGTTCCCAAGACTGGTGGGAGAAAACCCTCCAATGAGTTATTGGATACCTTAAGTGCTGTTAACCTTAAAAATTGAGTAGTTTCATTTGGAAGCATTCCTGTCAATGAATTTGTACTTAACTGAATAACTTCCACATAATTACCCCAATACTGGATCCTTGACAAATTACCTGACAGCCTGTTATTACTCAAATCTATGATGGCACAGTGGCCTACCTTGAGAGGTAAGGGGCCTGACAATTTGTTTGAAGATATATTAAGCTTCCTCAGAGTCACTGAAGTAATACTTCCAAGGGGACCTGCAAAGAAAGTTTAAATTGTAAAGAAAAGGATAAGAAGAAACTCATTGGATAACTCTTATATTTTGAACCCATGTCATATCTGATTTTATGAAATAATGACTAACATTGATGAATAAGTGAAATGCTGAATAACTGGGGAGAGATGAAGGGGAAAAGATGACCAAGAATTCCAAGTGCAAAGTACATCGATTGTCACTTGCAGCATACTTTTGCAAGATTTTGAAAGTACTTCCCATAATGTTTCTGGATAAGAAACTAAGAAGCCTCTATAAGGGACAAAGAGATAAAAACTATATAACCTTGACACCAGCTTCATTGCAGATATAAGTTCCCAAGCATGCAATTTTTGCAAAGACCTAAAGGTCTGCTGACAGTCACTTACCTGGTTGCATACTATCCCAAAGAGCCCCTTAACAAGGTTTAACATCAACTACATTTTCGTCCTTATCATTCTTGGATTTCAAAATGACTCCATAAATTGATATATTAGACTGATGCAGATGGTATGTGACCAGAGTACTTATGTTAATTTTTAAATATACTGCGTCTTTTATAAACAGAGCCAGGCTTCTTCCGGTTTTCAGTTTGCTCAACAAAGTTATGTTTGAAATATAATTTTCCCCATCAATATGTTGAACCATACTACACTAACTTCAAACTGGAGGAACAATAAGTGGATAAGTTCTAACCTTGAAGAAAGAAAATGATTACAACTTACACAGAAAAAACAGAAATAAGATACCTTCAAGCTTGTTTTGACTAAGATCCAGTTCGGACAACATCATTGAACTTTCCATCAATAAAGCTTCTGGCAGTGAACCTGACAACTGGTTGCATGCAAGTCGAAGAATCCCTAGAGATACCACAAATGTGAAGGAAGGTATATTACCCACTAACTGATTATGACTAGCATCAAACACCTCTAAATTGTCAAGGTATGGTATACCATCATGAGCAAATAGCTCACCAATCAAGGAATTGTGGCTAACATTTAAATATTGAATTGAGGAGAGAAAGGAGTCATCTCCAAGTCCTAAATCCAGGGTACCAGAAAAACTGTTGCTGCTTAAGTCAACATGTAGCACACTGCCCATCTGAGAAAAGATATGCATAATATCCCCAGAAAAGTTATTAGTGTGCAAATCTAAATATTTCAACTGCTCAAGTTTGTTAAACCCAATAGGAAGAGTACCTCCAAATTCATTTGAAGAAAGATTCAGATACACTAAATTACTCAATTCAACAAAGTTAGAGGGTAAGGACCCACTAAACTTGTTGAGGGACAAATCAAAATTTTCAAGTGATTCCATTGGACCAATATTTAAGATACTTCCTGTGAACTGGTTGTTCACAACTGACAAGTTGCGAAGCATTGTAAGGCCACTAATTGCAAGGAAATTAAACTCTCCAACCAAACCAGCATTGTCAAGAGTGATTGATATAACATTGCCTTCAGTACACAATATCCCATACCAGTTCTGAGGACATCCATCGGAATCTAAAGATTTGGAATCCCAAGAATTAACAACTAATCCAGAAGGGTCTTTCTGAATACTCTTCTTGAGTTCAAGGAGTGCATCTATGTCTGAATTCCCCAACGCAATAGCCACCAACAACAACAACATCAACATCAACCAGATAGCCTGCATGCCTCTCCTAGTAGCTCCTAATCCGAGAACCAAAAACACAGATATACGTATGATTATGTGAGGAAATGTACCTCATTGGAAGTAACAGCAAAGGGATAAGTCTACAACAAAAATTGAAAGGCAGAATATTAATTTCCAGACATATAATTTCATAATTTAATGCACATACTTATAAAGGCCAAAATGTCAACAATGCAGCCAGTATATCCCTTTTTGTTTCAATAATTACGAATCTCAAGTATTAAAAAAAAAATCAAGTGATTACTTGTTCCAACTAATAATAACTAAGTTCATCACCGACCAACATATCCATATGTCATAATTATTAAACAAAAACCTATTCATACCTCTTAATTCACAAGAAGTAAAGTTGAATAATGAAGCATATATCCGTATGTTAATAAACAAAAGCAGCAACAATGCTAACCAAGATGAGTGGAAGAACAAACTCACAAGGAACAACAGAACCCCAGTAAGTTTCTTGTGGATTTTTCTGTAAAAAAATAATAAATTAAGAAGAAAAAGAATGCTTCTGAGCAGAGGAGGTAATAAATCTGAACAAGGAAGTGAATGTAGTAGAATGCAGTGTGGCAAAGCAATGATTAAGGGAAGCAGAAGAAGAATGTAGTGATAGAAGTAGTAGAGCAAGGCCAAGGTAGACAAGAACTGAGAAACATGGTAGGTGGGGTTGCTGTATTATCATATGTTTACCAAAAACAAAAAAAGAGAAAAATTAAAAAAAAGGTTTCTGAAACAGACTTTTCAAGACAGCGTCACTGGTTTGTTCCCAGTTACTAAAGCAACTATACACTATAATCTATTCTATATATTACCTCGGTGACTTGCACCTTTGACTTTGGTAAATTCTTATATTCACTCATTCACATCTTTCTTTTTCTGTTTCTATTTCTTCTTCAAAGCATCCCAATGCAAAAGCGCGTGTTGGCATTTTCATCCATTGGATGTTACGTCATCTTATCTAAAGGAATAATAATTAAAGTAAGGGTTTAATATTTTTATTTTTACTACAAAAATATTTATCTATCACTTTATATAAAAGTGAGCGCGTGTTGGAGCTCAGTTCCAAGGGATTGCTTGGTGCAGGGATCAAACCCTGCTTCAAGCAGTTTCTTGGAAAATCTTTGGGGGTCAGAGGATAAGCCAAAAAATCTTTGGATGGGAGATTAGTCTCGTCCTTTTTCCTGTTGCGAAGCTTAGTGCACCCACTATTACAATGAGGGGCTAGCCCAAACGGGCCGTACCCCGAGGGCATGGTTTCCGGAGAAGGTTGAATGAGGATAAATGTACCCAAAAAAAAAAAAAGTGAGTGAGTCACAGTAAGATATATTTATTTTTTATACGAGCCTTCATATAACTTTTAAATAACAGCTTAAGTTTTTTAAATGAATTAATTCTATCATATTCTTTTGATAACAAATTTAATTATTTATGTTTAAAATTCTAAAACGACTCTTATGTGGTGGGCCAAAGAAAAATTCCATATTTCAATCTCTACATTTCAAAAAAAAAAAAAAAATTTATGTATGATTTATTTCATAAATAATTTTATTTCATGTTACCTATCCAAAAAAATTTATTGCATGTCCAATAAAATAGTATAAATTGGAAAACGCGCCGAATAATTTAAAAGATTACTTATTTATTAGGATATTGTTGGGCTTAAATGGTTTAGTGCATTTAAGTTTAACCACAAGCTTATAGGCCTTCGATAGATGTAGTTTATTCTTTGACTCGTATAAGAAGTGAGAGTGAGAGTTGGGCCAGACTTCTTTAATGGTAATACGGGCCACGACAGTGACATGCCATATATTCCAATGATTAATGAAATACATACACAAGGGAAGGGCCCATTGATTTAATTGACATGATTTTGCTGTATTATGATCCAAATCAACCAAATGCAACACTTCAATCCATCACGGATTGAATAACCATTGTTCCATGTTCATTCATTATAGTGTGACCTGCGTCGGGATGAAAACTGGTTTTGTGCATTAAAAAAAAAAAAAAAAAACTGGTTTTATAACCCAACAAATCACTCCATTTTCTTTAAACTCAATCAATTTTAAGTTTGAGTTTAAATATTTGAATTTAGCATTAGTTGAAAATTATATTATATGTGTACCTCAGTCAATAAGCTCACTACTTGAACCAAGATGAACTTGAAAATTTGAACCGCATTGAATACGAGTAAGTCAATATAATTGAACTAAAAATAATCGAGTCAAGTATAAGCTGCTTTGAGCTCAACTCCATTTATTTTCCAACCCTAATTAATTATTGTGATATCAACTTTAGTGTCATAAAATTATAGAGGAAAAAATATTTTTTTTTATTATTTCTAAAATTATGTCACCCAGTGTTATAAAATTGGCTCGACAGGATCAATAAGATCGAGAACCGGACCACTAACAAGTTCAGTTTATTTAATTAACCGATCATATATACAACTCGATCAAGAAGAATCAGAGAAACGGTTTATGGTAAATCACAATTGTATTTTTGAGACTCAAACTTGACACCTAAAGGAAGGGAAGTGAAACGCTAATTACTAAGTTATATCACTTTGTTGTCATATTACTTTTATTATATATATATATGGGAGTTATTAATCTTATGTCACATAAGATAAATATCTTATGTAGGTGAAACAAAATTGTGAGATCCACAATTTTTAAAAAAATATAAAAGAAAAAGAAAAAATGGACACAAGATTTTATGAGTGGAGTTATTAATCTTATATCACATAAGATAAGTATTTTATGTGGATGAAATAAAATTGTGGGATCCACAATTTTTAAAAAATAAATTAAAAAAAATAATGGATACAAGATTCTATGAATGTGCAACATAAAATAATTGTCTTAAGTGATATAAGAGAACTATTTTCCTATATGTAAGCACTAACCATCAATGTCCCACTTATCGTTATCCGGATCAAATCGATAACATTGATGTCACCTCTTTATATAGACTGCACCTTAAAAAATATGGAAATGTTTTAATATCAGCTATATTATTTTTTTCAATAAAAGAAACATAATACATTTAACTATCAATAAAATTGTAAAATATACCTATATGTATACCCATATGTAAAATTGTGACTACTTCCTTCACTCTAAAAAATTTGCAACGTAACCAGCTAATAAAATTCCTTTTAATTTCGATGAACTAGAATTGAAATATAGATGTAATAATTGTATTAAAAAAATATATAGATGTAATATGTTATGTTTTATGGAAAAAAAAGTATCTAATGTTATTTTAGATAATTTTATCTAATGTTCATCGAAACAATATTATTTTGGGTTGAAAAATAAAAAAATTAGAATGATAAAGACTATTATAACTTCCAAATAAATTAAAATTACAGAAACACCATAATTTTCACCCTAAAACGATGTCGTTTCGATGAACATTAGATAAAACTATCTAAAGTAACTTTAGAAAAAAACAAACTCATGTTTTATTTATCAAATAATGATACTTCAGTTGGTGTATGAAAGCTGAAAAGGTGAAGGTAAGAGCATGTGTTCGATACTGCCCAGTATCATATTTGAAATGGGTTTATCTTTCAGGTGTTCATCAATCAATGCAAATCAATTCAAATTGCGGTGACTGAACCGAAAAACCAAAAATTGAAAAAGAGGACACATTTTAATTGAATTGGATCGGTTTTTGGTTTGGTTGGTGAAAACTGATTTAATATATTATGTATTTATTATTTTTGAAAGATGGTGACTTAAAATCTTGTTGTTTTGTAGACTTGAAATCTTGGATGTTATTAATAGCAAACTATCTTGTTTTAGTTTTTATTGTCTATTAATCTATTTAAACTCTTCGTGAGTTTTAAGACTTGTTTTAGTGTGAAGACTTGAATTTTTCAGTGATTTATAACTTTGAATGATTTTATTTTAATATAGCTAGTGATTTGTATGATTGAAATTTTAAGTTTTTCCAAAAATCGAAAACTGATTCAATTCAACTGAATAAATTGGATTGGATTTTTTAAAATTCAATCAGAATGGATGATTAAATGATCAAATCAAAGAAATTAGATCAGATGATTTTTACTTTAAAACTGATTCAATTCAGACCTCCAACACCCTTAATTTATAAAAAAAAATGTTATATTTTACACTATCCTATAATTTTAATAATAGCATCAAATATAATAGGTTGCACTGTACAACTCTGCCAACCAATAATGGAGAGAAAAAAGTGGTGTTCAACTATTGTTGTTGTTATGGTTGGGAGTTGGGAAGGAGTTGGAGAACATGCAGAGCCAAATTTGACGGTGTTGCATTGCGTTTGCATTTTGCAAGTAGGTGTTATCAAGTGTGGGGATTGGGGAACCTCAACAAGACGGCGCTCTCTACCATAAAAGTGTGTCGGTTGGTTCCATTTCTTGTCCTCAATTAATCAGTTCCATCCATCACCCAACTTTGGATTCCATTATCCATCCCATTATTTTAACTATACTCACAACCACTCCCAGTTCATGTGTCAAAACAAACCCTTATAAGTTATATCTCTCTTTCATACCCTCAACTTAAAAGTTTCATGATACAAGTTTTGGTAGCGAGTGAAAATAAGTGTCAAATATACATCTATTCTTAATTTTCCTCTATATTATTATCTTCTTCTTTGTTTAGACAAAAATGAAATAATATTATTATCTTTTCTTCTTTCCCCTCTTAACATGACTGGGATATATTCCCTTATTATTTATTAACATAAAATATTTCAAGAAAAGAAAATCATTAAAACAAACAGTTTGTCATTTTGATATTTTATTATAGTATCCTATATTGACTGGGAGATTGATGGTAACATGCCATCCGTGCTAGTTTATAATAATCAATTAATGACAGAGACGTGACTATAAACGTGTTGGTTTTTGTACTAAAAAATAAAATAAATGTGTTAGTTTTGACTTTTGGTTTCTGTACTTATACGGGTATATATTGAACAATATCAAGAAAATAAATTATACTAATTAAATTGCGTATGATCCTAAATATACTGCAGAAAAATAAATTATACTAAATAAATTGCGTATGTTCCTACATAAAATATACTGCAGAATATATGTTAATTTGACCAGCTTTGTTGGCATCTTAATTTAAATTTGCAGCATCACAACTGACGAGCATGAGCATATTCTTGCTTTTGGGCTTCTGGTAATATTCTCATATGCTTTATCTCTCTTCCTCTTGTTCTCTTTTCTAGTTCAACATATACCAAACTATCTTTTCAACTTTTTTAGGAAAAAAATTTCTTTCAATTTCTTTGTTCCTTTTCCATACACCTTTAAGTTTCAATACAATAATAGGCTATCTTAGGGGGCGTTGGTGGGTTGCATCTTATGAAGCTATGAAACAATAATGCTCATATTCTTTTCTTTCTTTTCCTAACCTTTTCTAGAAGGGTTTTAATAAAGTGTTCCATTTTTATAATAATTTTTTTTTAAAATTTTTTTTCCTTCTTTTGAAATTGTTTCCCCCTAATAATATCATTTAGGTTGTAGTCTTGTAAACGTGTATATGCATCCCACTCCTAAATTGACCATGTGCATATATAAAACTAATTAGCTGACACACACTACTACTTCCTTATTAAGAAAAAAAAAAAAAAACTGTTTAGTTGGTGGCATGAATTAGCAAAGTCTTACAAGAAAAAGTAAGAGAACAGTGAATAACAGAAAAACATTCTAAACTCTTGACAGGTGTTTAAATCAGGACCTTACTAAAAGAAAACATGAAAATCACATGGAACCTATTTAACAATGCTTCTTCACCTTTCACTTTGGTATTGGCCAATCCTAGAAATTAATCTAGAAGTCTTGACAAGGAGGTCCCTCTAGAAAAATGACATATTTGATACTTTTGGAATCTTTCTATAATATTTTGATGCCAGACTGAAAGTTAAGTGAGAGATAGTTTATGTGAAAAGGAAAAGATAAGCTTCACCCATTGATCAACTCAAAAAGGTTAATAAAAAGAAAAAATATACACATTTTTATATTGAATGAATTTGCATTGGATAGAGTTGTCATCCACATCTATGACCAAGTTTATGCTGAGATGCTGCCACTATCTAAGGAGCCATTATTTTGGTAAAGGTGGGCTGTATGAGGAGGCCCGGTGTGAAATGTGAAATGTGAAATGTTAAAGTTGCTGACGTCATAATTTGCAAGAAAAGCATATATAAAAATGTAAGATGACCCCCCACTTCAACTTGTTTATGTTAAATCTAGATGGAGTGATGTCTACAATTCTGCTACGTGGCTTCAATAATTGTGTAATAGTAAGTGAAAGTAGGTTCAGAGTCATTTTATATTAGTATAAGTTACACCTTTAATTTTGACTATTGATCTCACTTATATCTAAAGGCTTTAATTTTTTAGTAATATGAGCCATTGAATACAAGTGGATCAATGATCAAGATTGAGTGTAAAATTTCTAATTCTTTTACACTGATGTAAGAATATCCTAGCCCCGTGCTTTTATCTTTTTTAAACTTGAAGTTCTTTTCACTTGTACACCACCAAATTGTTGATACATAGAAGCTGTCAAGTGAGTGGGAAGAAACTGTGGCGCTTTCTACTCTTTTCAGGAAGATAAGACATCACACACAATTTACATATACAATTATGCTGCTTCTATTCTCTTTTCTGGCTTTGTAGGCTAACACAGATACACCACAAGAAAGCCATGTATGGCCAGCTATGCCGCTGTTTTACTTTATATTTAAGACAAAGCAAAACAAAGAAAAAAGTAGTGGTTAGGGATCCTAGAGTTTCTTGTTAAGTGTGCTACATCAGATTCAGATCGTTAAGTACCAGCCAGAATTTATGTGAAGTCAGCTAAGGTTATATTTTCACCACTAATTTAAAAACATAATATAGAACGAAGTCAACTACTTCTCTAAATTATTGGGAGCCAAGTCTACAGGGAATTATTGCCACTTTTTTTAAATCTTTTAGCTATGTTGAGCTAAGAAGCAAACTCTCCATGAAGAAATGGAAAGTTATATTTCGTCACTTGATTTTTTATTTGCGGTTTAAACTATAGTTTTATTAACAAAGTTATTTATATGGGGTTTGATTTTCTCGTGTTAAATGAGAATTTAATTCTCATGTTGTAGAGATAAAAAACATGTGGGATCCAGGTGTTAAAAAAAATTATATGTAAAACCCATGTCAGCACGGAAATCGAAGAGTGTGTTGAAAAATTTGAATTCTCATGTTAAATATTGTTAAACATGAGAATTATAAAACCCTATCTATATATATATACATGTATGTGACTGGATTAATTGATGGCTCTTGTTTGTAGTGAAAATTGATAAAGTATGTTGCAGAGTACCCAGGTGCCCAAAAACCGCTTACAAGTTACAAGAAGCCCTGCATCACTGCATGTTCGTTTGTCAGAAATGCTGCTACAAGTGTAGGTGTGTTCCACCGGGATTTACGCTACATAAAAGTTTGTCCCCATTACAGTATGTTGAAGATCAAGAGTAATGGTCTTTTGATAAAAAAAGAATGTTGTACTTGGTGAACCAACATCAAAATTAAGATTATTTTCTGATACAGATTCTATATAGCTTTTCAGGCTTCCGATTTGAATAAATAATATTAACAAATTTATGTCTACTTGTACAAAATCTAAAATGTCAGAAATGATTAAAAGGGAGTAAGCATAATTAATCCTCGCTGATTTTTATTTATATATAACCATAATTTATTTGTAATTGGTTCATAATAATATTTGAATATGATTATTTAACTTTATTTTTTTCTTATCAGACCTATGAAAAGATATCTAATTTTAATTGTTACTTATAAGCATGAAAAATATAACTATTATAATTAAAAAAAATTGTAAGTTAACCTTCTATGATTTTGTGCAAAAACATAAATAAGAGAATTGTAAGCAATACTAAATGTGCATTTTAAAATTTATCAAAAGAAAAATGTGCAGTTTTTAAAAAAGGAAGAGAGGTAAAAGTTAAAAAACCAAATAACAATCCAGTCATATACTGGGTGGCTTTTTCCCTTTGAAATTTTGAACACGTGGTGCTATTAGTTATGCCACCTTTTCAAACAATTTCTTTATTTCACTGTATTTGATGACACTTGTGCCATTCTACATCGATAATTTGCAATACATGACACCAAATATCAAAGAAATGAAGGTATCGGCATCCAAATATAACACTTGAGCAAGAGTAAACTAAGCACTCAAACAGAAGAACTGAGAGCAAGTTCAGCCGCCTAACACTATAAAGAGATGATGGCACTTTCCATGTCCCATAAAGAGGCACTTTCACTTTCAATGAAGACTGAAAAGGAACAATTACAAACACATTTATAGATTTGACCGTAGACTACAAAAAGACAAAGACGCGTGTCCCCTTAAAAAAGACCCCACCACACACTAACATACATACAAGTTGATCACGCAATTGAACATAGCACGTAAAATGGCATCTGCCAAACAACTGTTATGGGGTCCATTTCACATGGAGAAGATAAGCACAGGAGAAAGAAGCATAAAACGACAAAACCTATCATCTGCCCAACCAACTTTCCCATGACAGGGTCATATATTCAGATTCCTTAACATGAATACGGTGGAACAACAATTTATAAGAGAGTTATAATCTTATTTATATCACAGTCGTACATATAATAGTTAAGAAACAACAATAGGGCTAACACTGATATAAAAAAAACACACACACAAGAGGGTTACATTATGGAACATCCATAACCTTATTAACCCATACCAGACCAGACCTGTCAAGCATAAAATATCTCTAGACCTACACGATTACATGTGAAGAAAAATGCAGCAACTACCTCTGCGTTAAAGGAGTTTCACATGATCAAGGCGGCTACCCCTTTAAAGGACAATAAAAAGTCCATGGTACACGAGTTTCCACTTGTCATTTTCACTGGTACCATACTGAAACATCTGGCTGTTTGTGAAGAGTATCCATCCCTACTACTTGATTATCTTCCTTAAAATCAAACGATGCCAAATCACATGGGGAGCCAAACATCAAAGGGATATTATTGTTGTTGTGGTTGGTCTCAAAAGGAGAGTTCATATTCTTGAACCGGTCAAATTGACCTTCCTCTCGTGCAAAGAAGTTACCTTCCATTACCATTCCTTGGCCAGGAAAGAAATTCTCCTGTGGTTGCTGAATGCTGGGCTGAAGAAAGTTTTGATTTTCTGCAGCTACACAGTTAGTGGAACCTACGTTCTTGTTCCCTAAAACATTTGTATCATAGATTGACATTAGGTCGCTAATCATTTTTTGGCCATCCTCCGGAACTCCAAGCCCAGTTAGATCAAATGTAGGTGGAACCAAACTAGCACACTGAGATGTAGTATTGGGTTGAACAAATGACTGGGGGAATATTACTGGCTTAACCTCAGTAGCATGAAAATTGGGAACACCATAATCTGCAGAACTGCTTCTATACGAACAATTCAATTGATGATTGTCCCTAGAAGACCTGTCTTGAAAACCAAGGCGAACTTCACTGTAAGGGCACTGAGGATGTTCACATGTGTAAATTTTCTGATCCATCATCATGCTAAACTCACTTGAGATCTTCCTCTTCCTAATAAAATCCAAGTTTGTAACAACCTCTCCCTTGATTGGATGAGATGGTTGCTGAACTGAAAGCCTTCCCCTCATTCTCTCCATCCCAAGATTGGATGGAAGAAGATTCTCGGGTTTCCTGTCTTCCACATCAAAGTTTGGCTCATCCTCAGCCCCTTCAACATCATACTCATTGCAATCATTGATGACCAATGACCCACTGCCTCCAGCAGAGGACAATGGGGGGCAATACTCAGGATAAAGCTCTCGAGCCAAGGACTCCTCTTGATTGATGATGGCAAGCCAGGTTGCACTTTCCTTGGCTGTCATTTTATCTTGAAGGCATTTGGACTGCCTCACAAGCTTGCGAATCTTGGCAATATCAGGAGACATATGCTTGATAACTGCAGTTAGAACACCAACCTTCCATGCCTTCTTCAGGTCATGAGGTTTCTTGTAAGGTGGAGGGCCTTGATCTTTAGGTAAACCAATTTGAGGCCACCATTCTTCATTCCCGGTTGGCCACCATGGTGGAGGAACACCCTTCTCTAATGGGAACCGTCTCTGAGGGGGATCACAGTGCTGCATAAGTGCTGACAAGAGAGAACCCAAGGTTGTGTCCTGTAACTCTTGCAAGGTGTGCGGAGTTGGACCAATCGAATTGCATCCATCATTCTTCCCAGGGATTGCATTATCCGCTTGATACTTGGCTATGGCAGCTGGACCATTCCGATCAAACCTAACCTTATCCTTCCACCATTCACGAAGGTTGTCAGATGCCCCAGTCACTGGTTTTCCCTTCTCAGGAATTATCCCATAAACAAATCCTTGCGCCTTACAAACCTCCATCATCTTCAGCATGTATTTCAGTATCCCATCCTGAGCTCTTGACATCTTCTTCCTCCTTGCCTGTTCTTGGGATTGCCTTTGCTTTGCTGCATCAATTCCTTCCTTAGCCTTAGTTTGTTCTTTCAATCGCTTGAGACGCATTTTGTCCCTCCACATCCTCCTCTCAAGCTCATCCACATCAATTTCTTCATCACTGTAATCATCATCAACTCCTGCATCGGGTTCAGTTTGCCTGGCAGAAATATCTTCTTCCCCGAGTGGACCACATAACATATCCAAATCGCCACAAAACCCCATGTCATCAAACATCATCTTTTCCCAAGAAAAAATACCCCCAAAGATGGCCTAAATTTTCAGAAGAAATGGATTTAACCGGTAAGCTTGAGATGGAGTGAGTAACAAACTGGTTTCAAATTTCACGCTCCTTCAGCACTATAAACCAACTCTAGTCAATAAATCGTCAAGATTTTAAAGGCCTTTACACCTGGCAAAGGCAAAAAAAAACAGAGAACAATTTAGACGGTAAAGAGGTCAAACAATACTTTCCAGATGAAGTGAATACCAAAAGCATCAAATCTGCGCCAATATCTTATATGAGATTCAATAGCCATCCAGTTTTCACCAGCAGATACTTCTTTCATTCTCATATATTGGATATAGGCTAAAAAGTCAAAACGTGGATTAAAAAAATAATCTAAAATAGATTAATCACTATATGAAATCATAAAATTCTCTGCTTTTGTCTGAAACTCTAATCCATCAATACACTAACTAGATCAGAGCAATAACAGATCTAAATCACCCAAAATAAAAAATGAAAATACAAGCACCGCAGGCACACAGCATGCTTCAATGATGATTTAAAAAAAAAAATGGCTCATCGACCCATCATCAAACAGGTGGCGGCTGAGAGATATAAAAAGGCAGGTTTCAGACAAAAACTTCACAAGAATATCAGCAAAACTTACGAAGAAACAATCAAGCCAGCTACGAACAGAATATCCAAGACCAAAAACAATCACTCAGAGACCCCGTAAGACCATAAATAGCAACACCGACTTAAGAACATAAAAATAAAAATAAAAATTCAACTGAAGATCAGAAAGCTAATAAAAGATTAAAACTTCATAGATCAACAGGTTAATGGAACCAGCACCAACACGCACAAAAAAACAACATGCACACGCCTAAAAGAAAAGAAAAACACCAAAAAAAAAAAAACAGAAGCCCAAAATTTGTATTGACCAAGAAACTAGCAAGAAGGAACTGAAGAGTGAAAAAGGCAACAATTTTATTTCATCAGGGGAACCTTACCAGAAGATCCAGAAGTGGGTCTTGCTGCGAGGTCACCACAAGTCAATATAGGAAGAACGAGCATGCTATTTTCGAAACTTCGATGAGAAAGAGATTGAAGAAGAAGGAGAAAGAAGAAGAGGGAAAGGGAGAGGAAAATGAGAAAACAGAGAGAGAGAGAGAGAGAGAGAGAAAATGAGAAAAAGACACAGATCAGAGCATTATCCTCATTTTATATTATTGCTTTAAAAGAAGGGTGAGGGGGGTGGTGCTCTCGGTGAATGTGAAAATAGTTTGTGTCATTCATTATTGGTGGGGAATTAAACTAAAAACCCCCATTTTAAGGAGTAATTGAAGTTCAAGATATATTTATAACGAGGTAGGATCTTTTGATATCGGTGTCAAATTTAAAGTTTGACATCTTATTTGAGAGCCGTTAGATCAAAAAATATTAACGACTCTGATTTGTAAGCATGTGATACCATTGATCTTTTATGATCTAACGACTCTTAGATGCGATGTCAAACTTCAAATTTGACATCGATATCAAATGATCCTACCTCATTTATAATATTGGTTAGGTTAATCCCACCTTAACTTGGGATGATCAGTTACTAGAATTTATTAATGAATTATTTATGGTGATAATATGAATGTGATTATTGAAGTTTTATGTTTCTTCTTTTCTTTATTTATTTCTCTGTTTTGTTTGTGTGTGTGTGGGGACCCCGTGTGTGTCTCGTAGTTTGCTGATATTGATAAGGCCACCTGACCAATAACAAAGTCACTCACAGAAACAAACACAGATGACACTAGCATGCCTTTAACATACTCCAAATAAGATTTGGGGTATCCATCCTCCACTCATAAAATAAATATATATAATATTAGCATGTGACAATAGGTTTTTTTTTTTTTTTTTTACTATGGTATTATTTATTTATTTTTTTGAAAATATTCCAATCAGTTCGTTGTTTCGCAACTAATTTAATTTGGGGCGGGTCCAGAATTAAGGCTTTAAACCTTTTCCAAAAATAATACTGGGAAGATTTGAACACATACTCTCATCTCCCACATGCTTAATAACTCTCCTACGCCAACTGAGCTACCACCGGTAGTATTATTTATCTTTAAATCCTCGTGCTTTTGTTTTTAACTTATCACTCCTTGTCACATGTTTTGTGACTTTTTTCTTAGATCCAATGTGTCCGTGTAAAGGAGAGGAAAGTCATTTTGAAAAATTGAGACTCAGATGAACTTCGTAACTATCGTTTGAGACACGGATAGAAACAAACAAAACGTTATATTTTGTTTTTATTTTATTTTAGAGTAAACATCCTCTTTCGTTCTTAATAATATCTACAAATTTTTTTTTTGTTTCTGACAATAATAAAGGACTAAATTGGTCCCTAACAGTATGAAAAAGGGTCACGTTAGTGACAGAAGAGTTGACATAAGGACTAATGTGACCCTTTTTTCATAATTTTAGAATCAATTTAGTCCTTTTTATTGCCAGAAATTAAAAAAAATTTCGTAGATATTGTAAAAAATAAAAAAGGATGTTTACTTTTTATTTTATCTTTTTTTGAGGAAATAAAATATATTTTTTTACACTTAATTTACGGTGCACATAGCATAGAGCATCGATACTCTCATAAACTTTTTGAGTATTGGAAACGTTGCCCAGACACAAACGTAGTTAGTGGGAAAGCATTCAATGGGGGAAAATTCATTCAATTCAACTTTCTATTTATTTGCCTTCTTCCAATGCGCACGTTGCCGCAAACTCAATAGTAACGTGTCTCATAAAGTCTTAGGAACAAAATTAATAAAAGGTCAATTACACTCCTTTTCACACTGGAATTTTTTTTTTTCCTTTTTTATTTTCTCCCTTGTGGATAAGAATTTACCTAAATTGGAATTCTTAAATTCTTAATCATGCTTTTTGCATTTTCATCTTGCTTCTCTTGTCATATTGGAGATTGCTTTCAATGGATAACAATATTATTGACCAAAACTAACAAATTATATAAAAAAAATAGATTTGTTGTAAAATAGTATTTTATAAAATTTAATTTTCTGATTTTTTTTTTTTTTTTGCGGTTGAATTTTTTCATTTTCATCAATAAGCTAAGGGGAATATTACTCTTATGTGACATGAGAGAATTTTTCTCTCATACACACACAACTTAAAGGAGAAAGGAGAGAGAATAGAGGAGACAAAAAAATTAGAAAGTGAACTCCACCCTTGATTTGTGAATGCATGATTCTCTGATATCACATGAGAGTAATATTTGTCTTTAAGCTAATATAAAAAAACTCACACACAAAGAAAATAATAGATATAAAACTACCAAAATGAAACCTTGCAAATGATTTATGACATACCAGTGCTATCTGATATCCAATATAATGCAACTCTAACGTCAAATCAATACTGATGCATCCATTCAATACAAGTAATACTACTAAAGACAGTTAACATTCTGGTAAGATCAAGGCAAACCAATAATTTCATTCGAATTATAATCTCCAAATAAGAAACCTCCAAAAAAAAAAATCTCAAATAAGATTTATCGCATTATTATTTACATTGAAAAATCTATAATTATAATTACAAAAATAAGGAAAATTGTTTGATTTATCATTATTTTTTCTCTTATGTTTCATGATTTGATTTGCAAACAATTAGAAGTTGATTTGTAATTATAATTATAATGACTCGATGAAGTTGCTAAGAAATCCGTAAGTTATTGCTTTCTAATGGGACCACTCATACATCTTACGATCAATACTTTTTCCGGGCACTGTGCATGTTATAAACATTTAAGTCAATTCATGCATTCACCACAACGTTATCAACTCGATTTAAATCGGCCCGGTCGATTTAAAATCTGATGAATCGATTATTTTCTCGGTTCGAGTCAGAAAATAAACCAATCATATAATGGATTCGGTGAAAACGAATTCTACTAGACCCGATTTTGATATCAAAATGGGTAACCCGACTAGTTCAAAAAATAATCTATGGGTCATATATTTTATAAAAAAAATAATCAAAATCATCTCGCTTTATTTAAAATATTGTCTGAGTGGTTTATTTCTTTTACAAAATATTATATGTGGTTATTATATATAACTTTTGGATAAAGAATTTCTTCTGGAGATAAGTTATTTCTGGTGAACTCAAAACAATGTCATTTTCGGACGAAAATCAAAATGTTTTTATAATTATAATATATTGCAGGATTATATTAATCTTTATCATTATAATTTTTTAATCTTATAACTCAGAACGATGTCGTTTTAAACTCACTGAAAATAATTTTATTTCCAGTGACCGGAGAAATACTTTTCCCATAATTTTTTTATCCCTACAAAATTTATATATGCATGCGGCCCAGCTCAACTTTTCAGAATCACACAGAGTATGACCGTACCGGTCATACTCTGTTTAAGTCACAAAAAAAACACAACTTGTATCTTTTTGAACGACACACACTAAATTGTTTTATATAAGACCATGTTTGAAGCATCTTCTTATAATATGCAAGATTGTAAAATCGTGTCTATTACCTGTGTTGTTCAATTATATAACACTGTTTAGAAGAATATATATATATATATATATATATATATATATATATATATATATAGAGTTCGTCGCTTCTCCTTTCGTTCCTGATGAGAAAAGTTGCAGCAAATTATTAACACTAGGATACGGGGTCGTATCCTGGCATAAAAAAAAAAAACACATCAGGATCCGAACGCGTATCCTGATGAAAATAAGTGTTGTTGTACTTTTTCCCATCTGCACTGACAGAAGAAGTATATAACCCATAAATATATAAACAAAAATATCCCAACACAAAAAAATAAAAAAATAATAGTTAGGACGAATAAGAATTTGTACAGTACTTCTTACTAACAACTTCTAAATAATATACAGGTATAAAAATTCTCTTTTACTATTCGACACTATGTCGTTTGGGATTAGAAAAAAAATTAAAACATTTTGAGAAAATTGATAAGCAATATTCTTAAAATTCCAAAAAAATTATTTTTCAAAAGATAAAGAATATGTATTTTGTTTACCAAAAAAAAAAAAAAAAAAATGTATTTCAAAATTTATTTCCTTTTAAAGATCAGTGGACACACATTTTGTTTTTGTGAAACTAATGAAACAAGAGCGTTTAATTTTGACCCTCAACCCTGACAAAAAAGTTAGGATTTTTTGTAGTATTTAAGGCGATTACAAAGCAGGATACGATACGACTGTCCCTTTCCGAAAAGTGGAAGCGAATTTAACATCAATCCACACAAAAGTTTTTCTGTGTTCCCCACAAACTCCATCAATATAATCAATCATCCATGGTAAAAAATTTCCCTCTTCATTGTCATCATTTTTTATGATCCCAATTCACCCTTTTTTTTTTAATCCTTCTACCATTGACATTTAGGTTACATGTTTCAAAATAATTATGTGATTCCTTCCAATGAACCTAACCTCAATTATGAAGTGTCTGAGGTCACAAATTGCTCTATATATTATATGTTTCAGCTGATACTCGTAGATCATATGTATGCGTATGTGAATATTATAAATGGAACTTTGTTGTTATTTTTTATTTAAATAATAATAATAATTCTTTTTGGTTGCAGATTCACTTTGTGCTTCTCATCAGTCGACAAGGAAAAGTGAGACTCACAAAATGGTATTCACCATATTCTCAGAAGGAAAGATCCAAGGTAACTGTCTCTAATTCAAATATTCAATATGAATTGTCAAATTTTAATCCGACATACATTATCATTGTAATTGAAATTGCATGCATCGTGATTCGGTACACATCACATGGAGCATCGTTTTGTCACCGTAATTGCATGTTGAATCACCAGAATCAACGAATCTGGCCTTATAGATATTGGAAGGATAGCAAGCCAAAAACAAACACTAAAAGAAAAATTGTATATTGAATCTGTTTGATATGATCAAACAGCTAACACCTAGGACATACATTATGCTATATATTTTTTTTGTACTTTGCGCTTGTTTGATATATTTTTTTCATGTTATCAAGAATGTAAATTTTTTACACTGATCAATTTGGATCATTTTTTTTTAACATATACTAGCTATATTTCATATACCTCTTGATATTTTTATATTTGATGTTAATGTTTTTGTATTTATAAACTTGTTAAATATATGTACGGGATCATATCCTTATAGTTTTTGTTATGTTGTCATATTTGCGTATTGATCTCCTCTGCTCAAATTATGTGTATACAATATTTCTTAATCTGTTTCTTGTTCTGTTTTCTTTCTTTCTTTCCTTTTTTTTTTGTGGAAGGTAATTCGAGAATTAAGTGGCATAATTATCTCTCGAGCCCCGAAGCTTTGCAATTTCGTGGAGTGGAGGGGATTCAAAGTTGTTTATAAAAGGTGAGTCAGGAGTTTTCACTTTATTTCTGCTTCTGTTGGCTAACAAAATGCATTGAACTATAATCGTGAGTGTCTTGGTTTTGGTTCTTGTTCAGATATGCTAGTCTGTACTTCTGCATGTGCAATGACCAGGAAGACAATGAATTGGAGACCCTCTCCATTATTCATCACTATGTTGAGACACTGGATCGCTATTTTGGAAGTGTGAGTATCATAAACTGTTGAGTTCTTAAGTTCTTGATAAATTGTATACATATTTTAGAGCCTGAATTTGTTTCTCTCCTACTTGTCAGGTTTGTGAGCTGGATTTAATCTTTAATTTCCATAAGGTAGTTCATCACCTCTCTTAACACTTTTCTCTCAAATTATTATTAAACTTGCATCTGAAATCTCCACATTCAACTATTTTCGGATATTCCCTCAAAGATATTACATATTAGTTCTCATAATCTAATGTCATATTCAAATAATGAAGCTTCTGTGGTAAATGAGATGACTCAGATCAGACTTTTGATTAAACTGAGGAGGAGGATCCCTCGCAGGTCTCTTTGGACAATCTTTCAGTTTGCAGCATACTTTGTGATCAATCACGATCACAGTGTCTGTGCTTTTTTTAACGTATACTATAAATTTAAAATTCCATCAACTAAGATGGAAGAAAAACTCTGCTATTCACTCTTCAGTGTTTATCTTGTATCAATGGTTAAACTTGAGCTTGATCCTAGTAGGCATATTATATATTGGATGAAATTTTGCTCGCTGGAGCGATGCAGGAGACTAGCAAGAGAACTACTCTGAGACTGATAGCTGCACAGGTATATGTGACTACAAATGACCCTTTCCAGCCTTTCACCACCCACATGTTTTAATAACCTTGTGTTTGATAAAATTCTGATTTTATGATTTACAGGAGGATTTAGTGGAAGTTGCAAAAGAGGAGCAAAGTTCATTGAGTCATATAATTGCGCAAGCAACCAAATAAGAGTGTCACCAAGGATTGAATTATGTTACATAGGCTGCAAATCTTTTTCATCCTGGTGAAAATTTGTTCTCTGCAAATCACTAAAAAAAAAACTCTATAATAAATGGTTTTATTAGAAATTTGATTTTTAAAAGAACCTTAAGGCACAGATTAATTCATTTAGCCGACTAGACCTGGTGAAATAAGATTTGGTTGTTATTATTTTTGAGATTGAAAATTTGTTCTGTTCATCACTATGATTAATTATGTTATGAAGATAATGATAGCATTTAATGCTTTATAGTATACTGTATAGCATTGCCTTACAAGAATAGTGAACAAATTCAATTTCCCAAGATGATACCTACACGTATTTATCTGCATTGCTGTGTTTTAGTGGTCTATTGGGCCCTACCTTGTTGCTCTATTTGATGAAACGCTATAGCCCATAATTGGTGGTTGTGATTGAGCCCACCATAGCTCTAAATTAGGACACTGCAGAAATAAATTGAACTGCTTTATAGACAATAATCGATGTAACCTCTGTATTCTCTTTTTTGGATACATGTTGATCCATGACACTGTGCAAGGTGTTATTGCACAGGAAGCACTACCAATTGGAATAACATAGTCATATAAATGGGCAATGCCAACAAAGCAATTTTTGTTCAATTTTCATAAATTAGTTTGTTACTTACACTATTGTGACGGAAAAGTACACAAGCGAGGAAGAGATGGCGTCTACTTTTCGTACCCAAAAGGTAGAATATGAGAGAGACTTAATGTGACAAAGAAAAGTCCAAATTCCAGGTCACCTTAAAACTGAAAGCAGTTTGTACACAAATGAAGATAATAGCAATGTTCCTTAATGGTTGGGTTAAAACTATAAATCATGGCCATGCAAATGCCAACGGTGATATTTCACTTCTTCTTTTTTTCCATGTCATGCATTAGCATTTCGGAGTACCACATACATCAATGACCTGGTTCATGTATTGTAATCTAGTGAAAAGTTCTTTGGCGTGCTTTCCACATCAAAGACATTCTTATATATGTTAGTTCACAATTTCCGTTTTTGGGGTGTGATTCCTAAGAATTCCACCAAAAGTGTTTGGTTTGCTTGATAAATATTTTTCTGATTGCCAAGTGTTGAACCTTGAGAGGAAGGTTCACTCATGGTAATGAAAGTACTTAAAATGAGAAGGAAATAGCTAAGATACGTGAAGAATCAATACCGGTGAGAACATTTTTCTTTTTTGCTCGAAGTGACACCATCATGACAAGTTAAGAATATAGCAAGGTGGCTCAAACAATTCTTATTACAAAGTCACTGGAATACAAACACTGTCAAACATTTGTACATTGTCTTAGTAAAAAAACACAGTTCAATTCCAAACTATACTTTGTTGATGTTATGGTAAACACAACAAGTTTCTGCAACTTTGAAAGAGCTTCTGAAGTGATGGCATCAAACCAGAACCTGAAAGAACTACAATGGGCTCTGCAAGCAATCAAATCAGAAGGCCTAAATCTACACAGCATTTCCTTCTACCTTTCCCAACCAACTTCAGGTTGTTACCAAGAAACAGACAACTCCATAAACATAAACATTTCCAAGGACAATCTTCCATACTTCTCCAACCTCTTGACAACACTATCAGCAACCAAGAGCACCAAATCCACCTTGAGAAACTTGGAGTTCCACCGAGTTGAATGGGAATCACAACTGGAGAAACCTTGGCATCTTGCAGGGGAATAACCAAAATATGCAGCAAGTTGTTTTTAGAAGAAACAAGTTCAATGGGAAAAGCCCATCAGAATTTTCAGACATTCTGAAGGCAAATAAAGTGATAAAAGAGATTATGCTTTCAGAATCAGGAAAAGGGTCTGTTGGAGCTGGACTCATTGCTTCTGCTCTTATTGTTAATCACAGTTTGGAGGAGCTGCAGATATGGGAAGATTCTACAGGATCAAGAGGTGCTGAGGAACTTCAATCTCCAAGATGATTGAGGTTAACCCAACTCTTAAATTGTTGACAATTTTTGACTCAAATGTCATTACAGCTACCCCTCTTATATCTGCAGTTTTGGCAAGGAATAGGACTATGGAAGTTCATGTTTGGAGTGGAGAAAATGGGGAAAAAAGTTCCAAGGTGGTTTGAGTTTGTACCTGAGAATAGCACACTTAGACTTTACAAGCTTAACCTCTCAGGTACTTGTAGGGTTGCTTGATTCTTAGGAATAACAGTCAAGTCCCTTGACATGAGAGGAGTGAAGCTGAAGTCCCGGTGTACTAAGGAATTTATATGGGTTTTAGAACAAAACCAGACCCTTAAAGAGTTTAACTTGTCTAGAACATGCCCTTTGAGTGGATTAGGTGTGGTAAACACAAGGGCATTGCGTACATTGCAGCTGGACTCTTTAAGAATCATAGTCTACAGACCTTACATCTAACTGGAAATTGGTTCAGTGGGGTAGGTGTGGAGCATCTACTATGCCCTTTGAGTAGATTTTCAGCACTACAAATGCAAGCCAACATTACTTTGAAGTATGTTACTTTTGGAGGAGGGAGAACAAGAATAGGAAGGGATGGTCTAGCAGCTCTTTCGCAGTTCCTAATAACCAATGAGACAGTGAGGCAGTTGGGGATACATGATGATGAGAGTTTGAGATCAGATGACTTTGTTAAAATCTTCAAGAGCTTGGAGAAGAATGCTAGCTTGAAATGCTTATCTTTGCAAGGATGCAAAGGTGTGCATGGAGAGACATTGCTGCAGGCAATTCTGGAGACACTACATATGAATCCTTGGATTGAAGATATTGATCTTTCCGGAACACTTCTACACAATTCTGGAAAGACTGGGAATTTATCAAAGATTGGGCCAGACTGAACCAGAAATGGATTTGCTCAAGGACATTCCACTATCAGAACCCAAGAGATGCAGAGTTTTCTTTTGTGGGCAAGAATGAGCAGGAAAGGTTGAATAAAATTGAAGTAAATAGCTTTTGAGTCCTCAACAAATATCATATCATGAACTCCAATTTAATCGCTCAGAAAAAATGTCGACTCGTGGTCCCTGTAAAATTAAAAATAGACTCATGTTAATCCTTTTGAAGAATCAAGTGAGTCTTCTTTGAATTTCAGAAGGATCACGCTTTCGACTAATTGGATCTACTTTGAATTTCAGAGAAATCACAAATCGACTTTTTTTTTCTAAGAAATTAGAATGGCCCCCTCATTTTTTTGGAGGACGTGAAAAGTACTTCACTCATAAAATTATTTACCTTGGATGTTTCATTATTGATTAATTTCTTGAAACAACATTTCAAAACTATAAATGAAACAAATTCATGAAACTAAATTAAGCTTTATTTTTTCATATAAAAACAAGCTAATAGCAAATATACTTGAATCATAGTTTAAATTCATAATTTCAGGCAAAACCACACTCTGTCATTTCAATATCACAAAATTTCTCAGCTGGGGCACTTCCCTACTTGGATCAAGTCAGAACAATAGTGAATCCAGAGGAGCAGGCTGTCAAAACAGTAGGGATGAAGATAAAAACTTTCAAGGATGAGGATACAAAAATTTCAATATATATGGAATCTTGCTGGTCAGCATGAGTTTTTCTCCCTCCATGATCTCATGTTCCCAGTTCATGGGAGTGCATCACTTTTCATTATATATCATATCAAGTTTATTCAGGAAGCCAAGTAACAAAGAACCAAAAAGCACAAAAGAGATAGTAGAGGACCTGCAATATTGGCTCAGGTTCATAGTTTCAAACTCCAAAAGAGCAATACAACAATGCATGCTTATGAAGCACCGATACGGCATTTTCGATACGTTCTCGATGATACAGGATGTCAATTATTAAACAATACGTATCCGATACGTTTTCGATACGCGTATCCGATACGTTGGAAAAAAATTTAAAGAGTATCGGTGCTTCATGTTGCTACCAAGTGTTGCTGTTGTTCTAACACACACTGATAAAATCAACCAACAATTACAAAACTTGCAGCACACTGTAGATTCAGTACTTCAGAGACTGAGAGACAAGTTCCAAGGCTTTGTTGATTTCTACCCTACTGTATTCACAGTTGATGCAAGATCATCAGCATCAGTTAGTAAACCCACTCATCACATCCGAAAGACATGCAAGACAATTCTCCAAAGAGTACCGCGAGTTTATCAACTTTGCAATGATCTCATACAGCTTTTATCAGACTGGAGATCAGAGAATTACAACAAACCAGCAATGAAGTGGAAGGAGATTGGTGAACTATATGCCAAGTAAAAGTTCCATCTCTGAGAATTCGATCAAGACATGATAATAAAGAGGTGGTGGAAATGCAGAGAATAGCTATTGCTACTTGTCTTCATCAAATTGGTGAGGTGATTTATTTTGATGAGCTGGGGTTTCTGATTTTAGATTGTGAGTGGTTTTGTGGTGAAGCCCTAGCTAGGTCAGCTCATAAAATTAAATGCTAGAAAACGACAACACTCCTCAGAAAACGGTGGATTTATTAGCAAGAACGAACTGGAGAAAATCTTAAGTGGAAGTTTACAAAGCCCAATTCCTCGTATATATGGGTTCAAAGGTGTTTGAGAACTTAGATGCTAGGGACCTTGTGAGCATGATGCTAAAACTTGAACTTTGTTATGAGCAAGATCCATCAGATCCAAATTCACTGCTATTGGTTCAAACTGATAATTCCGTATTCTCAATAATCGTTGCCATTTTCCTTTTCTATTTTATAAGATTCTAACTTATAATCTCATATAAAGTATTTAAATCTCACATCATAACTCACTCGTAATTTTAATTTCCTTCTTGGTCATTTTAAACCCCACATGCAAATGACACTACTCAACTAGAACAACCATTAGTATAACTAGGTGTAACACTTACCATGAGCATGTAAATTTAACAAGTTCATTAATACATATATCCACTCAACACATTTCTCACTAATTATTTAACAACTTACACAGATTTGCAAAGAAAACAAATACAACAGAAAGGAAACATGTCTACGTACACTTTGTGAGGTAGTCGACAACAGAACTAATCCCACAATACAAACATAACATGATAACACCAACAGAATGATAAAGGGAAGAAGACACAGAAGAGAAAGGTAAACTTGACAAATTACAAGGACAAATAAGGGTGGCTAGCTATTCTCAGTTGTGTTTGTTGTTCAAGAACATCTTTCTGGTAAGGCCACATGCTATAGCATCTCTAGGTATTCCTTTCACATTTTGAACGGCCTCAGCAAAAACCACACCCATTCCCATATGCAAATGAGGTTCAATATGACAATGGAATGCCCAAACTCCAGGGTTATCTGCCTTAAACCTTAAAGCAGTCCATCCATAAGGGAAGATAACTGCAGTGTTCCTCAATGGTGGGTTTTTCAAGTTGAATTTAGTCTCCTCATCACCCGGTTCGAATTTCCCATCTCCATAGCCCAAAACCCAGAAATCATGGCCATGCAAATGCCAAGGATGAATTTCACTATTTTTCCCTTTTAATACATTGGCATTTTGGAGTATCACATCAACAACCTGGTTCAACTGAAAGGTATAAACCCCACTCCCAATATTTGAATTAGGGTTCATAGGGGGGTTCAAGATGTCATAATCTGCCGAGAAGTTCTCAGGGGGACTATTTTGATCAAATGCACCATTGAGTTTAAACTTAATGGAACCTAAGTAAGGAGTTGATGGTAATGTTAAGGAGACATTGTTAATGGCCCATTTGGTGTATCCATCAACTAGGTTTTGTGTGTTGAGAAGGAGAACCCTACGGTCATAGTATTTTGGAGGTTGTGGGGTTCCCATTAGGGCAAGAATTTTCTGAGAGAATGATTTACTATGATTGTAATCATCCCATTGAGGTGTTATTGGGGGTGGTGAAGTAGGAAAAACTGAGGCAGAGATTGTTTTGTAGTTTAGAATGGTTAGGGCTTGTGGGGTGTTGGGTTTTCTTCCTCTAACACCAACTGAAATCCAATAATTTTTCTTTGTGTCTTGATCTGTGGTAATGAGCACTGAGTAACTCTCCCCAGAGTATATGTCTATGTCATCTACCACAAATGGCTGAACGTAGTTTCCATCAGCTTCCACCACCACCATTTTGTGATTCTAGAAGCACAAAAAATGGGTGGAAATAAATAATTAAACCAAGTTATATATAAAAGAAGGGAAAAGTTATAGTTACTACCTCTTACTACTAAATTTTAACTGTTGATTAATTTATTGAGTCATACTTATTAATTAATTATTAATTTTCAATACATTATAATCATTAGATTCGCGAAAATCAACGGTTAAGATTTGATAATAAGAGGTAATAATTAAGAAGAAGAGGTAATAAGTATAACCTATCCCGAAAAGAATAATGATTCAAAGATATATAAAATTATTTATCTCTTACACATATTCAAATCTGTAAGACCTATGTAAAGAAAAAATATATATAAGAACCTCACATACTTTCATGTGTACATAAAAAATAATTTTATCAAAATATTTAAACCCAAACAAAAATAGAGTAAACATCATTTTTGGTCCTGGAAATATCTACGAAATCTTTTTTAGTCCCTGACAATAAAAAAGGACCAAATTGGTCTCTAAAATTATGAAAAAAGGGCCACATTAGTCCTTATGTCAACTCCTCCGTCACTAACGTGGCCCTTTTTACATACTATTAGAAACCAATTTGATCCTTTTTTATTTTCAGGGACTAAAAAATTTTTTGTAAATATTGTCAGAAACCAAAAATACTATTTACTAACAAAAATATATAGAAGATCATTTGTTTTTGAAAAATCCATGTACAGGGGTTCTAAAACCAATCCATGCAATCTTCCTAGAGCTATGAGCCCATGACTATGGACCATTTAGAAAAGGCCAGAACCTTTTTTGTTCTGTTCTTCACGTGTATATACTCTGACCAATCTATCGTCTTTTCAGTGATAATTGTCCTATCTTTTCCGTTATATCTTATGGGAAAAGTGTGTATAATTTTAAAGGATATAAAGTTGTGTCATTTTAAGAGAGAGAAAGAGATAGATAAAGTAGGAGAGAGAGTTGACAAAAAAAATAAAGGTGTGGGTCCCGCCTCTTTGTGAGAGTGAAAGGATGTAAGTTGTGTAATTTTAAATGATAGACACTTTTCCCATATCTTATCTATCTGGCATTTTCCACGTACATGGGAGTCACTTCATACCTAATGTGTTTTTTCTTAATTATTGGTATTCATCACATTGTATAAGAAGATATTAACTTAAGTCAATAAATTTGATCACTAATCATTCATTAGTTAAAAAAATAGATTTTTGTTATCAAAAAAAAAAAAATAGATTTTAAAATATTCTAAAATATATCAGGTTAAGTTAATTTTTGAGATAACATGAAAGAACCCGACTCAAAAATATATCAGGTTAATTTTTTAGACTCGAACTTAGCCCAATTAACTGCTTTAAGTTGAATTTTTTACCTTAAAATTTTAGAAGACAAAATAAATCTTTTAAGTAAAGTTTTATAGCCGGTACTTAGTTTTTAAAAATCTTTAAAATCTCAAAGTCAATAATAAATATTAAAAATTCGCTATTTGTGATAGTCACATTGGGACCAAAAATGCCCACGGAAGTTTTATTCATAATTGTTCAATATCGCTAAACGGTTTAATATTTTGTATTTGTTATAAAAAAATTTCTCTAGATCTCACTTTTATGTGAGTATAGTAGAGAAAATTTTTCTGCATCAGAAATAGAAATATTTATTTATATTAAATTGAATTATGTTGTAATTCAATTTTATCTTTTAAGCATCCCTAAGAAAACAACAATCTAATTTACCCTAAATATAAATATATATTTTTTCAAAATGAGACTCCCAAAAACCTCAACAAAAATTCAATGACACACACAGCATGGGCACACCGCACACTAATGGAGCCTAGTAAAGTGTTAAAAAAAAAAAAAAAAAAAAAGAGAGAGAGAGAGTGAGATGCTACCATCTCCTTATATAGTATAATAGATAACTTACCCCAATGGCCAAATTGAGAGAAGCTAAGGAAGTGGAGCTGGCAATTCTGATCCTGTAAGTCTTGTTTGGATCAACATGGAGAATCTGTGGTGCACATTGTTCACCACCTCCAAACTTGCATTTGGGTAGAGTGGTGTTGATAACATTAGCTGCCATAGAACAATTGTATTGTCCTCTTCCATTAATCAGCAAAGACTGAAAAAGTGAAATGTTCAGAAGTTCAGAAAATCAAATCGTATACAGGAAAAAAAAAATATAGAGGGAACAAAAATTAAGATACCAGTACTGCTTATTGTTTATGAAAGATATGTAGGCATGCATGTAACATAAACATCACCATAGACATTAGTTAAAAAAAAAAAAAATGAATCTAATACAATAACTTTCTTATTATAGAAATTCCTTACTTATTACGGGAACATATTTCTGGTTTAAAATTGAACCAAATTTTGCAAGATAGGGGGAAAATGTTGTGGAGAAGTTTTATACTCCTATTGAAAAATTCCAATACCACTTGAGGGAGAGTGCCATGCATACTATTTCTAATTGGCTTTTTTGGCATCTAGTTAGATTCTGATCTGCAATAAATTTGGATCCATACAATCAAAATATTCCATTTTGTACTTCTATTCTAATTATATCACATGTGGCCATGTGGGAGATAGATAGGTACATAAAGCTGACATATGATGTTCTCTTTCACTACTGTATACCTAGCTCGTCCATTGTAAGGAACAAATTTTGGGTGCCTAAAAAAGTAAACATTTTGAAACTTAGATAAAAATATAAGTTGGATTTAAAATTTTCACTTTTAGAAAAAAAATGTACCAAGTTACATGTGCTGCATGTAAAGAAGAAGCATTTGATAGAGGAGAAAAAAAAATTTACTAGAAAATTACAATTACTGAAAATATGCATGGTGGGAAAGTAGTTTTTTTGAGAAAGTTAAAAAAAAAATATTTGGTAGGCCAAAATATTATAAGAAAAACTGATTTAAGTTTCCTGAATCTATATTTGGTTGAAAATAAGATATTGCAAGAAAAATGGGTTAAAATTACAAAAGTAACCCTTGAGAGATATTTTTGTCCATATTTTCGCATACAAATTTTTTGTTTGCCGACAAAATCAGAATAGCATCAAGAGGGTGGTATTCTGCCTTCAATTTTACACACAAATCACGTACTCATGCAAATAAGTTTGTTAGGCAAATTTTTTACAAACCTCTACCAAACATGGTCTCCTTTCAATCCCATCCCCACTTTACTAGGCAACAAAATAAAATCCCCGTGTCAAACACCCCGTAACACTTAAAAGAAGAAAAGATGGAAAAGAATCATACATATATGTGTTAATGTTAAATTTACCTGAGGTTCATTAATCCATTTGAATGGCTGGGAAGAGAGGCCAACCTCTTGCTCATGTGTACTTTTGTGCCACCAATCACTTAGCAAAAGGTTGAACTCACCATCATAATGGAATGGTTCCTTTTGTCCCTTTGGTAAATTCACTATCAGAGAACCATATAGTCCTGCTGCTCTCTGCATACCATAGTGCCCATGGTAGAAGTATGTACCGGGCTGCACCATATTTTTACCCACGTATATTAATGTAACAATAACTTACCGTTACCAAATCCATCATCAAACGCGCGCATAACACAAACATTAACAATTAACACAGAAACTAAATGAGGAGATCATAAATGTAATTATATATGTTTACCCTGTCAACTGTGAATCTGTAATGAAAAGTTTCTCCTGGGTTTATAGCACACTGCGAAATGGAAGCAGTTCCATCTGCCCAAGGTGTTCCATACTGCAAACACACACCCCAAAAAAAATGTATGCATTTAAGTTGACATATATAATAAACCTTAATCAATTAATCATATTCGTGTTGGAATGAGAATAGATCCTCTCATGTCACATGCTCACATGTGATATGATATGAGTCGTCCATCGACAAATCAAGAGAATAGTCATTGATTTGTCTATGGACAAATACAATTATCTCGTACGGAGTCATGTGACATGAGATAATCCATTCACTAGTGTAAAGAAAAGGGTACAAAAAAAAAAAAAAAAAAACCTGTCTAATTCCATGCCAATGAATAACAGTTCCCTCAGTGGAGAGCTTGTTGGTGAGTGCAATATCAAGGGTGTCTCCAACTTCAGCTTCGATAGTAGGGCCAGGAAATTGGCCATTGATTCCCATCACAACGTGTTCAATGCAATCAGGTTCACGGATCATGTATTCCACCTCAAAATTGTAGTGCCTCACAGCTCCTAATGATAACTGAAACAAACTTAACCAAATGCACCATAGGGTAAGAGCTTTGAAGCTCATTATTATATGTTGTTGCTTTTTCTCGGAGGGCCTGAAGGGGAGGAATAAATTGTGAAGGATTGATATGAAGAAGCTGTTGGTCACAACTCACACAACAAATTATGGCATTGTGGCCAAGCAAGGTTGGCATGTATATATAGAGAAAGGCGCTAGAGTTACACTTGATCAATCTACTGTATCCATATACATGTGAACGTACGTAAAAGTTGAGTAAGTAAATATTAGTCAACTTCACAGCTATGATGCACGGACACGACACGACATGACACGACACGTCGTCACGTTAATTCTAAAAAATATCATATTTAAACACGTTGGGATATGTTTTGATATTAAATAAAAATTTTAATATATATAATATAATTTATATTTAATACATATAAGAGTCCATAATAAGTCATATAACCAATCAAATATTTAAATTTTATAACATAAATATAAATAAAAATAATTTTTCATACTTTGTTAATTTTTCATGTCAAATTTCATAATAGAAAAAAATTAATTTATAAATTATTTTTTTATATTTAGTTAATAAAATAAAATTAAAATTAAAAAAAAAATGTGTTCAAAAAAGTTGACCGTGTGTCCAAAAAACGTGTCGGAGAGTTGACCGCGTGTCCAAACGTGTCGGAACGTGTCCCACACACAATTTTTCAAAATTTGCGTGCGTCGGTGCTTGCGAGATCGGTGCTTGCGAGATTATCAGTGAAAGAATAGCAGTACTTGAGAATAAAGTAATAGAGATCACTCAGCAAAAAAGTTCTAGCTAGGTAATACTTTACCCTCTTTAATAGGTTAACGTTACCCCTTTACCTATAGATTTAACTTTTTATTCTACATTCCTAAGGCTGAAATTTAAGAGTTCTAATTAAAGGAAACAAATTAATATCTTATCCCTTGAACGAATTATTGTTAATTATAACTTTAGTCTTTAAATGCTTTGCAATTTGTTAAATCTTTAAAAAAGTAAATACGACATGCACAATCTGCAATTAATCTGATAACTAATAATTATAATTTTCAATTTTTAGAGTTATAATTGAGCCATTAGTTAGTCGTTTACTAGCTTTGGGATTTTAATTTTTAGGCAGTTGATATTTATGCATATAGTTAGAAAACAATGCATTCAGAATTTTGAAAATAAATCAAATTATTCACTCTTAATTACTTTATAACGAGACATAAAATAAAAGCTCATTTAGAAAAGTAGTGCATATTTCAAGACAACAATAATTCAATCTTAGCTATTCTTAAAATATTGAATTTTATAATCATTATACATTAAAATAATTGTTTACTTTTTCTTATTATAAATGAAGTTTAAAATTTAACTCAGAACTCAATTCTCCATTTGAAATATGACCCGAGATTCGGTGTAGTTTGTAAATTTGTAAGAAAAAAATTTGTCAATGTAATCCCTCCTAAACTAGATTTAGAGCATATTTTAGCTTAAGTAATCTCTATTCTTTTTTAGTTTTTCTTATAAGAAAAATAATAAACAATAGAGATTAGTTGATGATATGATAAATGAAATGACTCATAACATGTTTAATTTAGAAGTATCTCTGATTTAAGTATTACTTTCTGTGTGAAATAATCTTCTTTTTGACATGATAACAAAGACATCTTGTATATTAAGTTGTTAACAACTTGGATAAAAGTCCTTCTTTCTTTTTTTTGGTTGAAAGGATAAAAGTCCTTCTATTTCTAGCTCAGTTTGTCCGATTGCTATCATTATTTAACTGTCAGACTCACCAACACTGGCAGATTGTTCAGCTTAGGGTCCCAGTTTTTGTCTCTACACTGATGTATTGGTACACGTACACTGATGCATTGGATATACATAGTTAGACCGAGGCTCAAGACCGAGTATAATTGTCTTTTTCAAATAATAATAATTATTTTTATTTTTATTTTTATTTATTTTACTATCATAAAACCGAATTTTCAATTGATTAGGAGAGATATAAAAGGAGATAGATGTTCTTATATTTCATTTTAAATAATTAAATTATCAGAAAAGTATTTTTGCAGTTAATGCAGATAAATTATCTGCATTTACTTTCAAAACGACGTCGTTTTGGGATTGAAAGATTAGAAACTTATAATTATAAAGACTATAATAACCTTGAGATAAATTAAAATTATAAAAATATCATGATTTCCGTCCCAAAATAACGTCATATTGAACTTACTGCAGATAAGTTATCTTCAGTAGCTGCAGAAAAAGCAAACCCTTATATTATATGAATTTATGGTTAGAAAAATATAATATAAAATTATTAATGTGATTTTCACCTAACAGATTTGGTTACTTAATATGGTATCATAATATTTGTCATCAAGTGATCAAGAGTTTGGTTCTTATCATCTTATTTTATTAATAAATAATTAAATATTATAAAATTTCTTAGCACAAGTGGTTGGACATGTACATTATTTGTCTTTTGAGTCTAATAGTCTCTTGTACAAAAAGATATATTAGAAAAATATAATATAAAATTATTAATGTGACATTTATTTAATAGCTTAAATTCTCTTTTGTTGATTTAGTTATTTTACATTTATCTTAATTATTTATAAATAAATCAATAATAATGAGGAAAAACAAAGGCAATAAAATATTAAAAAATTATTAATAAAATAAATGACATCATTTTTACCTAATTTAATCACGTGAGATTTGAGCCCTTGATAGAGAAATATAAAATTCATTAAAGTAGCATCACCCAATAGCTTAAATTTTTGCATTGAATTGGTTCTTTATATGGTATCAGAGTCTCGGTGTTACGGGTTCTATCTTTATCACCCTCATTTAATTAATAATTAATTAAGTATTATGAAATTTTTTAGTACAAGTAGATGTGCATGTGTATTATTCACCTTCTCTAGTGTGAGGAGGCGTGTTAGAAAAGTATAAAATTATTAATGTAACATAACTCATTAACTTAAACTTTTGGGTTGAATTAGTTTTTTACAGCCCTCCTCTGCACTTCAGGAAAATATTTTTTAAGTGAACACGAAGTACATCATGGGTTCATTTTTTTGTAGTTGATGTAGATAAGTTATCTACATTTAGTCCAAAATGATGTCATTTTGGGACAAAAATCAAGGTATTTTTGTAATTAAAATTTATTTCAGAGTTGTAATAGTCTTTTTATTATAATTTTTTAATTTTTCAACCCAAAACGATATTATTTTTTGGTATGAATATAAATAACTTATTTACATTCATCGTAGAAATATTAAAACTGTACATCATTTATCAAATATGACAATAAATGACATATTTACATTACTCTTATCTTTATAATTATTTCCATAATTACAATCATACAATTTTTTCCTATTTTGGTAAGAAAGTAGATATTGTTGTAGCATTGAAAATGTAGTTGCAGGTCAGATATCAACTCCAAAAGGTACAATTATGGTCCTGCGACCTCCAGTTTTTTTGTAGTTTTGTTTATATTTTTAATAAAATATTTTCTTTTATGTAATAATAGCATTGAGATTTAAACATATAATCTTATATAAATTATTTAAATTTCTCACTGCTAGACTAATCCTAATAACTTATAAAATATTTTTATAATGGCCAGTATCGTTTACACTTGATTTGAATTTATTGAAAATAATTATTATTTTTTCAATTGAAGATTACAAATAATATTGTTCATTTTAATTATGGATGTACAGAACTAATTTATTTTTGTCTAATCGTGTACTTTATAGGATAAGAAAAGAGGTTCATTAAACGTTGCTGATACAGCCACTCATTGAGGTTTAATTCAAAAATGAAATGGGACGAATTCACGTATTTAGTAAATAGGCTTACAAGATCAATCTATCTTATTTTGTGTTTCAAAAGTTAAAATTAATGATTGTAGATACAATACATTACACCCCTATTGACATAATATATAATTTGTCATATGTAAAACAGAAATATTCGACAAGTGTCTGAAGAGTACCTGATACGTGTACCGACAATCATACATACACCAAATATTTTACAGTATCCGTACTTTTTTTGGGAAATAAGTATATGAAAATTGATCTTCTCATGTGCAATTTAACATAATCATATTATATGGTAGGATCTTAACCATTAGTAATTAAATCAACGGAGATGATTGTGTAATTTTCTATTCTTATATTTTTTCTCTCTCCTTCCTTATCACCACTAACCCACCTATGTATGGTTACGATTGCCCCACATGACATGGTCATGTTATTACCACATGAGAGGATCCACTCCCAACTATAATATGGACACGGTTGTACGTAGATAACAAGCAAATCAAGTTCACAAACCTTGCACCAATCGAATTTAATTATTCCCTTTCAATATGAAAATTAGATAGCGACACAATGGAGTGATTATAATCACAGGTGTAGTCCCATTTGATATTGGTCCATGCATTTCGATGGAGTGTGGGCACCCTTAAGGGTGTGTTTGGTACATGAGAAATTTTTTGGTGACCGGGAATCATGATTAATGGGAATTCAGTAGAAATTGAGTTTACTTGGAATCTTACGAAAGATGTGTTTGGTTCGCTAAAATATTACCAGGAATATTAGGTAAAAATTACTGATTCCATATTTGGTTTAGAACGAAATATGACTTGGAATATGAGGTTATTTTACAAAAATAACCCCAAACTATTTTTACTTTTGTAATTGATAGATTGGGTCTAGATTTTTATGTGTATTGGGGTATTTTTGTCTCAAAATTTATTGTTGTGCTTTCCCTTTACTTGGTATTCTGATTGGTATTCCGAATTACCATATTATTTTTGGTAATCTGAATAGTGACTTTTCTTTATAAATCAAATTACCGGTAATCCTTGGATATCCGGGAATCGTAATTTATTCCTTCTACCAAACGTGGTAATTACATTTACCAAAGAAGGATTACTGGTAATCCTCTCCAAAAACTTGAACCAAATACCCCCTAACGGTCATAGAACATAAGAAAAGGATATAGATTTTGTATA